GTGCGTTGTTTCAGGCCAGGGTTGTCTGTTATGAATAAGTATTTTGAGCAGACTCCAAGCACTACGTGAAGGGCTGGATGCTCCTCTCATACCCTGGTGTCATTCCATGGTCAGCCCAGGTGCTGCTCCTCCCCCACATCGCTGTGACTGCGATCAGCATCGGGCCCAGAGAGCTGCTGACCCAGGTGGCTATGAGCGGTGAAGCTGGCAGCCTGCGAGCCCTGGGGGAGCTCACTCTGGGGCTGTTTGCCACGGCGTGTGGGCTCACTGGGAGTAAGTTGCAGAGGATGCAGTGGGGTTAATTTGATCATTCTCAGCTGCTGAGGTTTTAATGAGGATGATTTTCTCAGTGATTCAACAATCCAGATACAGTTAGGAAATAACAGGGAGGTGCTAAACTGGGCAGGACTCCTCCACGTTAGGGAAACAGCTGGCTCTGGCTACTGAGCTTGGGCTTTCATGCCTAGGACACAGGATCAAACGCCGCCCAAGGTAGTAGTGACCCAAGTACCTTCACCTCAGGTGGCTGTGGAATGGGCTGGATATTCTTAATCTAGTTTCTATTGCACATGTAAATATAACACGCAAACACCCATCACAACTGGCCCGTTGTGAGCTAAGCAGAGAAGCTACTGATTGAATGAGTCTGGAGAAGTAGCTCCCAATCCACCCCTAGAGGGGTCTCTCCAAGACATGGTAGGAGGAGCTTTGCCTTTGTGCCCATCACTTTAGCACCTGGGCACCCCTCCTTTTGTCTAACCAGATGGCATTCTTGTGGCGGCAATAATTGCTCAGAGTATGTGGGTCACTAGGCTAAATGTGACACGCCACACACCAAAATGTCAACCGGATTTGAAAATAGACTCGCTAATTCCATCTAAAATTAGCTCCTTCTGGCAAAAAACATAACAAAAAACTCCAGGAGTGGCTTCCAAAACTGGATGCTGGGAGCTGCTTTCATGCACGTGTCCAGTCTGGTCCCTGATGTCTCTGTGACGGAAATCTGCTAGTATAGTCACCTTATAGTATGATTATTTGCAGCGTCCGAAGGTGAGCGAAACACTTCTCAGAGCAGATACAATGCACATGCTCCCCGCACACAAAAGCTCACAGTCTGATTTGACACAGGACTTGATCCAGACAGGCTGTGTGGTCTAGTGGCTAGGCCAGTGGACTGGGAGCCAGGAAATGTAGGTTCTATTCCTGGCTCAGTCACTGACGTGATGTGAAGCAAATCCCTTCTTCTTCCACCTTTTGTCTCTTCATACTGTAAGATCTTGGGAGCAGGCATTGTCTTTCACTGAGTGTCTGTACAGCACCTACCACAACAGAGCCCGGATTTTGGAGTGCAAACAATAATACTAGGGACTGGAATCTTCTCCAGAGGAAAGCGATAGAAGCCCCATGACTGGAGGCATTTGAAACTGGACTCGACAAAGGACCGTAAGGAGAAGCTGTGCCGTTGCCCCTGCAAGATGGTGTGTTCCAGGAGAGACCAAATCGTGAGACACCCCTGGTTTCCGAGAATCTCTGACAGAAGTGAATCTGCCTGATCTGGATGCATTGCCCGTGCTGAGGACCTGAGTGGTCTATGTGTGGAGGTAGAGCTTTTAGCCTCTGAATGCCCCATGGTGCCCTGCACGGAGGAGCTTCCCTGTGCACCAGCTGCCTGTAGAGATTGCTTTGGCCACTCAGTCAGAGTCAGTGGCTTGGCAGCATCCTTGATAGTCAAGTACGTGTGTACGGTGTGCTGGCTGTTCAGTCCCTGGTAGTACATAGCAGAGGCTCCGTGCTCCTGTTAGCTCTACCTCGATTGATCGTGGCTGGTTCTGGGCAGTTCTTTGAATTTCTCGTCTGGTCCACTGTGGGGAGAAAGGGAGGGGCTGCTTTCCTGGGTGACATCATGTAACTGCTCTCCTCTGTTTCGCATGGCGGGGCAGTTGGCTCCTGCCCATCCCTGCACCAGCTGGACTCAGAAACTCTCTGCTGGGTCCCGCTGAGCTTTGAACGGAGCTCGGGCTGAGATGCCGGATGCCGCATACGCCCTGATATCCTATTGCGCTGTGGGGCGTCTATTGCGGTGAGATGGGTAGAGCTACTGGCATCAGCGGGCAGGGGTGCGGGCTGCAGAATGTGGCCAATATTCAGATGACACAGCAAGCTATTCAATCCACCCATCCCTACTGGAGGGTCCATTGATCTGGTCGGTTGTAGCAGGTGTTTCCAACATCTCTTATCAGTTTGGTTGGTTGACTGAGCGCCCAGTGTTGCACAGTCGGCCATGTTCATCCCAGGTGAGGATATATTCAGCTCAGTATTCAGGAGTCTAAAATACATTTACATATCCGGGGTCCATTGTACTAGGTTCCCTAATCAGAGACAGCCCTGAACAGCTTACAATCTAAACAGAGAAAGCATGGGAGAAATGAAGTGTTGTTATCCCCTTTTTACAGGTGAGTCACTTAGGCACAGAGAGATAATGGGTCTGTCTACACTGCACATTACACCTGGGTTCTGACTCAGGCTTGAGTCCAAGCCCCACTTCCATCCACACATAAATCAGTCTCACTTGGGTCAGTCAGCACTCAGCTCCTAGGCTTCTGCTAGGGGGATGGGTCAGATCCCAAGTCCCGCTCTGACACAGGTTGAAGCTCTCTCCTCCTGCAGTGTGGACACAGCTCAAGCCACAGACCTGAGTCAGAAGGTCTGTGTAGTGCAGTGTGGACACATTAGCAAGGCTACGAGACCCAGGTATACAATGCACTGTGGATGCTCAAGCCCAGGGTAGGAAACCCCAAATCCACAAGCCTGGGTCCCACAGACCCAGTGTAGACATACCCTAAGTGACTTGACCGAGGTCACACAGTGAGTCTGTGTCAGAGCTCTGAGTCTAATGCCTTTACCATGAAACCATCCTTCCTAATTTTAAGGCTTTAAATTAAACTGCAAGCTTTTGGGGCAGGGACTATCTTTTTATTCCACGTGTGTACAGTGCGCAGCACAGTGGGGCCTTGATCCCTGACAGGTGCCTTTAGACACCACTGTAATATGATATCAGCAAAATATTAATAACAGCATTGCTGATGTGTCATAAAACGCCCCCATCCACCAACCACAAATTCCAAAGCAATCAATTCTTCATCAGATGACAGCTCCTCCCCCAGCCAAAGCGCCAAATCTTTGTGTCTTGTAACCCATCCTGATAGAGGCTAAACCCATCTTCCTCTAGCCTGTGGCTTCCTTCATGGTTCAGTGATGGAAGTTCCTGTGTTTCTGTAGCCGGTGCCGAGGGTTAGGTTGGCTGGAAAGCTGTTCGTGACCATGGTCCGTCCTACTTCCTCCCTCTTGCCTGCCAGAGATTGCTCCCTTAGTGGCTGAAATGTAAACCTGCCCACGTGTCTGGCACTCTTTGGAGTTCCAGCCACGGGATGTGACCAGAGTGGAATTCTGGCTTTGAAACTGCATCCGGTGTCCCTGGGCAGGAGATTACTGTCAAGAGGCTTCAGAGGAACAGCCGTGTTAGTCTGTATTCGCAAAAAGAAAAGGAGTACTTGTGGCACCTTAGAGACTAACCAATTTATTTGAGCATGAGCTTTCGGCTGTTTCTGCTAGGATTAGCAAGGGCTGCATAACATGCCCCAAATCAGCGCTCAGCTCAGGAGACAACACACTGCCCCTTTGTCCAGCCTGGCGATGAGCCTGGACCAAAAGGAGCTTGTGGCTTCAATTCATTTCCCCTTGTCTGCTAGGGCATGTCACAAAATGAGCCCCCATAGCAAGGCAAGATGGAGTTCCTGCTAGTCACCGCACCTCGTAATGTGGTACTTGGGCGTGAGATCTCTGGGGCAGGGACCTCGGGCCAGATTCTGGCTCCTGCTGCTTTGCATATATGTGGCAACACAAAAACAGCCAGAAAGCTGGCTTAGCCTGAGATTTGCTGGAGGGTGTGGAAATCTCCCGGTGGCCAAGGGCCAGGAATAGCCTGAATCCAGGGTGGCTTGCACTAAAAACCGAAGTTTGTTGGACTGGAGGCAGTAGCGGACACCGCTAGAGGGGAACAGAGCATCGCGCAATGTTAATGTTAATTCCCATTGCCAGCAGCTTGGCTGGAGGGGTATAAATGAGCGAGCGGGCGGTCGTGGCCCAGCATGGCATTTCCGTAAGGAGAGCCAAAACCCAGGGTCAATTCCCATTGGAGTCAGTAGGCCTGATCTTGTACCTTTTGAGATCGAGGGTGGGGGGTTGCCATTCACTGCAGCAGGAGCAAGTGGGGAGGGGTCTCGCCAGACTAGCCACTGAATCAGGACTTCGGGATTTGGCCTGAGGGTGCGGACGCAGGGAGTGTACAGTGCCAATGCCATGAGGTAAAGCAGGAGGAGCTGGACAGTGTGTGAGTTTTTATGCTGCGGTGTGTTAAGCGGTGGAGCCTGGTTTGTATCCAGTTCCCCCAAACACACACTCTTCTTGCTGCCCTGCTCATTTTCACTGCGTCAGTGGGGTCTAGTCTCTAGTGGACAGAGCACTGCACTGGGGATCAGGAGACCTTGGGTCTATTCCTGACTCTGCCACTGGCCTGTTGGCTCTCCTTGGGCAAGACACTTCCTGTTCTGGGCCTCAGTTTCCCCATGTGTAAAATGGGGATAATGATGCTGACCTCCTTTGTAAAGCACATTGAGATCTGCTGCTGAAAAGTGCTAGGGGGTATATTATTACTATGGGTCGTTATCACAGCAGCAGACTGGCACATCTGGGCCTTGCCACAAGGCACACTGCCCATCCCAGAGGTGCAGCTAGTCACAGCTGCTTGGGCTGGCTTGATCTGTGTGAGTGCATTATGCCGGCCAATTGTGTAATTGAACCCTGGGGATTTCTGTTGTGGCTACGAGTCTAAATGAATCCGCTTGGCTGGCAGCCCTGTCCTGACACCTGCTGAGCCTACAGGGCTTTGCTTTGATCTGCCCTGAGCTCTGATTATCCTCTTCCTCTTCCCTCCACCTCAGGAACGGCTGATGCTTTCCATCCTGCCCAAACACGTGGCAGATGAGATGCTAAAGGATATGAAGAAGGACCCGAGCCAGAAAGAGATGCAGCAGTTTAACACCATGTACATGTACCGCCATGAGAATGTCAGGTAAAGGACATGCCTTGCTCCATGGGTAGAGGGTGGATCTCCATGTGAGACATCACTTTTATCACGGTCACTTTGTCTACACTCAATTCAGTGATGAAAAATGTGCATTGGAAGGAATAATATGAATGACCTGTGTGCTTGTCTGGGGGGTTACATTAATTGTAACCACGCAGGGGAAAAACCTGGACTCCGTAGCGTCCAGGGCTCAGCGTCACAAGGCACACGAGATGTTCGGCTGCACAAAGAGTGGGATGAAGGATAAGACCGAGGCTCTTTTGATGCCATTCTGTAAAGCAGTGGGGTATGCGCCCCTGCTGCACTGTGTCCGGTTCTGGTCACCCCCTCTGCCAAAGGAGGACAGAGCAGAAACAGAGGGAATTCAGAGATGGGCAACAAGTATGATTAGTTTCAGAGGAACAGCCGTGTTAGTCTGTATTCGCAAAAAGAAAAGGAGTACTTGTGGCACCTTAGAGACTAACCAATTCATTTGAGCATGAGCTTTCGTGAGCTACAGCTCACTTCATCGGATGTATACCGTGGAAACTGCAGCAGACTTTATATACACACAGAGAATATGAAACAATACCTCCTCCCACCCCACTGTCCTGCTGGTAATAGTCTGCTGCAGTTTCCACGGTATACATCTGATGAAGTGAGCTATAGCTCACGAAAGCTCATGCTCAAATAAATTGGTTAGTCTCTAAGGTGCCACAAGTATGATTAGGGGCCTGGGCAGATGTCGGGCTGAGGAGTGACGGGAAGGATTGGGGTGGTGTGATTGGGAGAGGAGATGAGTAAGGAGGGACATGGCCGGGGTACACTGAGGTTGCTGACTGGTCTCTCCAGCCCAAGAAGGACTGATATCATCACACACAGAGTCTGGATCAGGCCCTTTCTCTCAAGGCTCCATGGATCCGTGGCAGCAAGAATCTTCAGCAAAACCCCCAAATAAGCAGTTCAGCATAAACCCAACAGCTAAACCAGGTCCTTTTTCCTGGCCCAGCAGCTGTGCCAGAGTTTTACTCCACCAGGCAGTCCTGCCCCCGTCCTCCTAGTCTAGAGGCTATCTGCCTGGGAGTCCCCCTGCTCCAGGCCCTGCCACCAGAGCCAGTCTCCTGCCTGTAGCTCTCCCGCCCCCCTGAGCTCTGTCAGCTTTATGGCAATCAGGTGTTCATCAGGCAGTCGCTCGGGCTCTGCCTCAGAACAGGGCTGGAGGGCCCCAGGCTCCCTGGCCTTTAAAGGGGCAGCCCACCCTGTTACATAGATGAAATAAGGAATGGGGTAGAGGAGGTATACTGGGCACTCAGCCATAATGCAAGAACAAAGTGGTGTTCAATGAATTTGAAAGGCAGCTGGCTTAAAGCTGATAAAGGAGCTGGCTGTCCTATGCAATGTATAATTAACCAGTGGAACTCACCGCCTCAAGGTGTCACCGAGAACACAAGCTTAGTAGGATTCCAAAAAAGACCAGACATTTGAGGACAATGAGAAAATTCACAGTTGATAGGATGGGAAAAAAATGTGTAAGCAGGTATATAAACTCTCATGCTTCAGGGCATGCACCAACTGCCAAGTGACAGGGGTTAGGAAGAAATCCCCCCCCCCCACCCGCCGAGGAGGTGATTCCATTATCATCCCTGGTGGGGTTTCTTGCACCTTCGTCTGAAGCAGCTGGTGCAGGGCAGTGTCAGAGAGAGGATAATGGACTAGATCAGGGGTTCTCAAACTGGGGGTTGAGACTCCTCAGGGGGTTGCGAGGTTGTTAGATGGGGGGTCGCGAGCTGTCAACCTCCACCCCAAACCCCGCTTGCTTCCAGCATTTGTAATAGTGTTAAATATATTTAAAAGTGTTTTTAATTTATAAGGGGGATCGCACTCAGAGACTTGCTATGTGAAAGGGGTCACCAGTAAAAAAGTTTGAGAGCCACTGGACTAGATGAAGCTTGTCTGATCCACTAGGGTAGTTCTTACGTTCCTGGGAAAGCCCCAAGATTCCTTGGCATGAGGAGAACAGAGTGGGATATTTCACAGTAAGAAAGCTGTGGAGAATAAACTGCAGGGAAAAATCCTACCCTGGACTGCCTCAAATCTACTAGGTCTTCAGCATCGCTGCTGCCTCTGATTCTGGTTTTCTCCGCATTCCTCTGAGTGGCCATTACAGCCCTGTCATCTGTATGGTGCTGCCACTGACCCAATGACACCAGACTGGCAAGTCTCCCTGTGGGCAGCTGGATGGCTACAGGAGGAGCGGGGAGGTCTCCATTGTTCCTGAGTGGAGGCCGGCTCTGGGCGATAGTCCCATTGTCACAATTTCCCAAGGGTCATGGTGGATTCTCTGTCACTGGCAACTTGTAAACCAGGACTGGCTGCTTTTCTAGCAGATCTCCTCTAGGAATTATTTGGGGGCAGTTCTCTGGCCTGTGCTACACAGGGGGTCAGACTAGATGATCACTATGGTCTTCCTTCTGGCCTTGGACTCTGTGAAACCAACTCATGTTTTCTGGCTTGTGTTCTCTTCTTCTCCCAGCATCCTCTTTGCTGACATAGTTGGCTTCACCCAGCTGTCATCCTCCTGCAGCGCCCATGAGCTGGTGAAGCTGCTGAATGAGCTCTTTGCCCGCTTCGACAAACTGGCAGCGGTACGTACGCCCACGCAGCGCCTGTCAGTCTGGACGCTCTGGTTCACAACCGGCTCCGCAGCAAACGCAAGCCTCGCAGGAGGTCACAGCTTCTCTGCCACCCGAGTCTCCCCGGGGCTCAGCAGGGTCTGGGAATGCTGTGGTGGCAGAGTAAGCAGGCTTCGCTCCTTGCCCACGGGAGGAGCTGTGCGGGTGAGCTCCAGAGGGGGTCACGTCTGCCCATCCCCCTGCAGAGTGAGGCTCACCGAGACGTGAGGCCTAGGCCTTGCACCTGGTCACCTCAGGCTCCACTTGGCGGCGTGTGAACCTTGCTGCCACACGATGGCTGTTAGCTGGGTTACGTGTAGTGAGTTTGGTGGGTCTGAGCCAAGTTCCCCGTGGCCAGGGGTTTGCATAACGAAACCTGCCACCGCTCTGGACACCATTAGCCCCCATGGCGGTGGTGGCCTCTGTGTAAAGGCCAAGGGCTGAATGAGTCTTGGAGACTGAACTCCCCTTTGACTCCTCCAGGACAAGCGGGAGGCCTGCTGAGTAGAGGAGCACCGCGGCTGCCTGGACTTTGTTGGTTTGGGGGATAAATAGGGGGCCCCTGGGCTGCCACTGCATCCCTGAGACCAAGGAAAGGTTCAGCCTGTGGAGGACTAGCCCCAAAGTGAGCGCCAGGAGCAGCCCGGGCCTGCCTGCACAGGGAGAAGTGCCCTCCCTGGGGTGCCTGACACCCGCAGGCCTCACCCTCAGTAATGTCACACAGACTGCAAAAAGGGGCCTTAAAGTGGGTGCAAAAGGCTCCCTCGCCAGTGCAGAGCTGGTGTAAGGGCCCCTCACTAGCCCTGCTCCCAGCAGATCAGGGCTGTGTCTGGAGTGCAGTGTAACATGGCCATTCGCTGTTCCCTAGAGGCCAGGGAAGCTGACTGACCGGAGGCTGCTCTAAGTTACACTGGGGGCTGGGCAGGGCCCTTCATGGCCCCAGAATACAGGGAGTGCAGCGGTGGCTAAAAGTTACCTTAGCCCCTCCATGCTTGCCCCCCTGAGTGTAACTGAGAATCTAGCCCTGCAGCCCCGGCGGGGCTATTTTCCCAGCAGCACTGAGCTGTGCCTTGCTGCCGGGAGAACTGGCCGCTACCCTTATCCTTGGGGGAGGGAGAGGAATGGAAAATGAGTTTACTTCTGCATGGCCTGGGGTTGAGTGTCCTTGGACTCAGGTCAAACCCTGCTCCTGCTGCTGCATGGAAAAGCACTGTGGGTGTGAAGCATGTCAAGCAGCAGAGTGGGAAGGGGAGATGGAGGAAAGCCACGTTAACCATAAAGGGAGAGACATTTTCATTTCATTTCAACCTAACCTAAATTCTGAGTCAGTTACCGGGAAGGGGAGCGAAAGGGGGAACAGGAGAGAGACAGAGGGGGAGGGAGAGTTGGCGAGGTCAGTAACAAAGGAATTCGGAGAGAGGAGAGCAGTGCTGAAAGAGGAAGTGGAAGGAGGAAAACCAGAGACCCAATTTCACCCTTGTGAATCCAGACTGGCACTTGCTTTTACACTGGGGTAACTGGGAGCAGAAGTTTGCCTGTATATGTGTTATGCGTTGCCCAGAACACCACAGATAGTTAGCCCAGCCCCTGCCACAGGGAGCACGGGGAATTCATAACACACTAAAGCCAGTCACTGTAACCTCGTGATGAGCTGAATCAAGTCAGAGCAGTGCAGCCTGGGGGCAGGTCTGCCCCAGCCCCTGTGCATAGCACAGCCTGGGGGCAGGTCAGTGCCTTTCCCAAACAGTGGAGAAGGGCAGGCCACGACCAACGTTGCTGATGAGGTAGGAGATCAGCATTGCCAACCCCAAATGTTCAAAAATCCTGAGTCTGGCTCACCAGAAATCACACAAGTGGCTTTAAACTCATGGGATTGTGTAAAAATAAGAGATTTGGTGTTCTTTTTATTTGTCTTCTGCTTTTTGAGCCTTTAGGGTGCCCTGGGGTCACATTTGGAAGTTTTCTCCACAGCCACAAGGGTTAGAAACTTAATTTTTCTGTAAGAACGAAGGCTGAAGTCATCACACATCCCCTTGACTGCAGGAGCTGGGGCTTTACAGGAAACAATAATTATTTTGAGATTCCTGACAAAATCATGAGAGTTGGCAGCACTGGGATATTCACAGAACAGTGCTGGACTGCTGGGCGGAAAGTGTGGGGCTGGGGTGTTTCCCTCAGGGTGGAGATGGAAGGATTTGGGTGTACGTGAGCGGAGAGACCCTGGCTCCAGGGGCAGTGTGGAAGGAGGTGCAGGGAGAGGCCAGGCAGACACAAGGGCTGGCAGAGCATAGAGGGGGGTAGCCCAGAGATGTAGGTAGGAGCCTCTCTCCCAGCCATAACCATGTGGAGGTCACATGTTGTGCTTCCCCCTGCTCTCTCAGAAACACCACCAGCTGCGCATCAAGATCCTCGGAGACTGCTATTACTGTATCTGTGGGCTGCCGGACTACCGCGAGGACCACGCCGCCTGCTCCATCATGATGGGACTGGCCATGGTGGAAGCCATATCGTAAGCGCCACTCCCTTCGTCCCTTACTCTTTGTTCTCGAGATAGATAAGCACTTCCCCGGCCCCGTCGCTTCCCTGTAAACGAGCAGCGCTCGTGGGGCTCCTTTAGCCTGTTCTGCATCATGACGTCGGGTCCACCCATCACGCCTCTTCCCTCCCCATGGCCAGTGATGTCTGTTATCAGTGCTCTGGGCCGATGGCACCTTTGTCCCGTTGTGACTTTGGGAGTGCGTGCTTGTGTGTGTTTAGATGTGCAGCCTTCATTTTGTGCCAACAAAGTTGGCTGTATGTGATTTCCCTGTTGTGTTTTTTAAAGGATTGAAGAAGGGGGCGGGGGGGGGAACAAGACTGAATTAAAAAAAAAGTCCCCTTGCTTTAGTGTTGTGGGGTTGTACAAGTGTGCAGCACCCTAGGGTTTGAATTTGAGTGTGCACGTACACACAAAAACTAGCGGTAGCATATACAGAGCTGCGGTAACTACGAGATGGGATTTTTAGGGGAAGAGATGGGATTTTCAAAGGGTTTGTCCACCTAAATCTTCTAAGTGCCTTTGAAAATCCCAGCCTAGGTACTTCAGGACTCCCTAACCAGTGATTAGGGCACTAGCCTTGGATTTTGGAGATCTGAGTTCAAGTCTCTGTTCTGCCACAGCTGCCCTGTATGACCTAGGGCAAGTCACTTACCCTTTCCTGTGCCTCAGTTTTCCATCTGTGTGGTGGGGTTCGTAGCCAGGCCTTGCCTTACTAGGGTATTTGGAGGATAAATACATTGAAAATTGCTAACTGCCCAGACAGGATGGGGCCAGATATATACCTAATGTGGAAAAAGTGGTATTTTTACCCCTGACCTATAACTGAAAAACATCTGAAGAGATTTTTTGCCCCAAAATTCACCTTTGAGCTGAGAGCAGGGATTGAAAATTTCAGCCAAAAGAGAGATTTATTGAAAGCTTTGAACAAGGGTTAGTTGTGGGAGCTATAATGAAAGCTGGCTTGCAACTTCAGCTGCAGGAATGAGGATCCCTAGGGGCATGTGGCCTGTTGGTTAGAGCAGAGATCTATGCGTCAGGAGTGCTGGGTTCTGGTCCGGACTCTCCTGCTAACTCACTGTATGACACTGGGGAAGTGCCTGTCTGTAAAATGGGATTAATGAGAGGTAACATGTTCAAAGGCATCTGAAGTGAGTTAGGACGTTCCTTTGACCTTCAAGTCACGTGGGTGTTTTTGACCAGGTTGCCTGATACCCACCACGTGAGGAAGGTGGGTTGTGAGGGTTAGTTCACTAAGGTGCATAAAGCACTTTGAGATCCTTGGGCAAAGCGTACGCAGGAAGGACAAACTATCGTTTGAGCTTTCACGCTGCAAAAGCAGTACGGCCGTATTTGCAGCTGGAGCAAACTGGTGGAACTCCACGGGCTTCACAGGAGGTCTGTGACTTTACACCAGAGGAAGATCTGGCCCCTAGCGTGTCTGCACATGAATGTGTCAGCAGGGGCCGGACTCCACTTGACCAGAGTAACTCCCGTGTCTTTGGTGGGGCCTCTCCCGGTTGGATCTGTCCCAGTATCTCTGAATGCTGCCGAATGCCCTGCCAGGGTGTGGGGGTGAGGCTCAGCTGGGGGACTTACCTGCTGAGACGTGGATCCAGCGACCTCTCTGTGTGACCCCTGCTCTCCCTCTCCCAAAGCTACGTGCGAGAGAAGACCAAAACGGACGTGGACATGCGGGTGGGGGTCCACAGCGGCACAGTGCTGGGTGGCGTGCTGGGCCAGAAGCGCTGGCAGTATGATGTGTGGTCCACAGATGTCACGGTGGCTAACAAGATGGAGGCCGGTGGCATCCCTGGGTGAGTGTCTCCAGGTGGACGGACAGCCCAGGCTGAGCCTTAGCAGGGGGGTGGGGAAGCCTGCAGCGGCTAGACAGCATCAGGGCCAAAGGGGTGTCGGTCCATCTCCGTCCACTAGCCCTGACATTCACCTTAAACATGTCCTGTGTCTCCACTGTTCCAGCCCTGTGATGTGGCTTGTTTTGGGGTCCCTCTGGCTAACCTCGCTGGCGGACTGCACAGCGCTCTGTGTCCTCAGCCTCCAGCTGAGGTGATGTCAGTGCCGGTTCTGACCCAGTGCTTCACCGACGGCGGGCAAGAGCGTGAAACCCCATGAGTAAGGCTACGTTTTAGTCATGGGTATTTTTAGTAAAAGTCATGAACAGGTCACAGGCCGTGAACAAAAGTTCACGGCCCGTGACCTGTCCCTGACTTTTACTATATATCCCTAACTAACACTTGGGCCAGGGGGCCGCGGGTGCTCTGAGGGGGCAGTCTGCGGGTGCTGGGGGGGGGTGGCCTGGGACCCCCGCTGATGCTGTGGGGGAGGCGACGTGCGATCTGGGAGCCCTGCTGGTGCTGGAGGGGAAAGGGGGGGCGGCACACTGCCCAAGACCCCCACTGGTGTTGGGGGTGAGGGTTGGTGGGGCTGGAAGGCTCCTTACCTGTCTCTGACTGACATGTCCGTGCAGCTCCTAGGGGGAGGGGCAGCCATGGGGGCACCGCACTGCTCCCACTACAAGCACCGGCTCTGCAGTTCCCTTTAGCCGGGAACTGCAGAGCCCCCTGGCCCCTCTGCCTAGGAGCTGCAGGGACATGCCAGTGGGAGCCAGGTAGCCCCCCTCCCCAGGTAAGCGCCGCCCTGCATCCCAACCCCCTGCCCCCTCCCACACACCCAAACTGCTGCTGCTGGCCCAGGGGCTGCCCACCTGAGCCAGCATTGGCCACTGCAGAAGTCACAGAGGTCACGGAAAGTCACGAAATCCGTGACTTCGGTGACTTCCGTGACAGACACACAGCCTTACCCATCAGGGCACCGTCTGTCTCAGACTCACTGCATTCCCCTCCCCTCAGTTTTTGTTAATAACAACACCTAATGCTGTGCAGAGATAGGACTTGGCCCTGCCTCCATTCAACCCCCAGATAACAAACCCATTGACTGCAGTGGGAGCAAGATCCTGGCCAAAAATAGCAGAATCCTGATCCTGTCAGCTCCTCCCAAGCAAGAGCAGTTTCTAGGATCTGGCCAGTATTTGTCCTCTTGGGTCCCACCCAGTCCCATCTGCCACCCAGTGCAGGATTGGTCCCCAGGGCACCTCAGTAGGGTTTTGTGCAGTCAAGTTTTACATGTCCCAAGTGACATTCTTCCCCCTTCTTTGCCTGGCCTTCCGGTGTGATCTGATGGAGGGGCCAGGAGCTGGCAGAGACAGAAAGTTGGAGCCCATCAAGAGGGCAGGCTCGGGGAATCAGGACACTTTCCAGAAATCCCAGCTTGCCTTGCCCCCAGCAGCCAGAAGTGGCCCTAATAACCTAGCCAGGCTCCCATGTGGTAAACATCCCAGGGCCACATTTGGAGCCAGTTGAAGTCAATGGGCTTAAATTCTTATAGAGTATTTCCCGGAGCCCCCCAACATGCTATAGAAGCCCCAGAGGGGTGGGAAATATTTACCGGAGCTCCACTCCAGACAGCTCTGGTGGAATTCAAGCCCAGGGAGTCACACGTGCTGCGTTTGTTCCAAGGGCAGTCCCTGTGGGCTGGGGGGTGGTCCATGGTAACCGGCAGGGCCTGGAGGAGCAGGGAGGTCTCCGGAAGGACGGTGACCCTGGTTTGGAAGCATTTCCTCTGTGGCTGGGCACCCTGCAGGCCTAGCTAAATCCAAATACCGCACAGCACACCCGGTCTTGTCACCGCTAAGAAATGACAGCCTTGGGGCAAGGAGCAGCCAAGTGCAGCCAGCTGGAAAGCCACAAGGGTAACAAATCTGCTTTCTCCAGCTGGGGTCAGCAGCAGTGCCCTCGATCTGCCTGGGTGGAGATGCTGGGATTGATTATTAATAACAAGAATAGCCATTTAGAAGGAGCAACCGCTCTGTGGCGCTGGGAAATCGTCGGAGACAGCCAGACGCCTTGGCAGGGATTCTGAGCAAACCTCAGCTTGGAACGCCCCCCATGTGGGCTCCAGATTTGGATTTCCTACCTGGCGGCTAGAGCCAAATGGGGCCTCGTCGCAAGTAACTGGGGAGGGTCCTGTGCAGAGGGATGTCGGATGCAGGGAGCGGGGGCTGACGTCGGCACCCTGTGGGCAAGGCGGGAGGTATTCCATGCCCTGGCTCTTGCTGGCTGGCTGATTGCGCCCACCCACCCCAGGCGGGAGTTGGAAACAGCTTGTCAGCAGGCAGAGTGCTGTCTCCTTAGCAGGCCAGGCTGTTGTGAGCACACCAGCCCCTTGTTTCTGCCCCACTGCTGGGCTCCCAGATGGCTTCTGCTGCCCCAGCTCCCCACGGGTCAGGTCCCGGCTGCATCTGCCGCTATGCTTCCGCCCACCCCCCACCAAGACATGGGCCTTTGCTTTGCTCAGTCCATTCCCACCTTCCCCATGGAAACCAATCGCCGCTGGGACCCCGGGTTCTCTCTGGTAACGCAGTCCTGCCTCCTTCCCCAGTGGATGAAGGGGACGAGGGGCTTTGTGTGGATACCTCAATACCTTCGCAAGATGTTCTTCCTGAAACCTGCCTAGTTCTGCCCGGGCTGGCACGAAGGCAGCTGGGGCCTTACTGATGTCTTCTTCCCACCCGGCTCACAGGCGTGTGCATATCTCCCAGAGCACCATGGACTGCTTGAAAGGGGAGTTTGAGGTGGAGCCCGGTGAGGGGGGGTCAAGGTGCGAGTACCTGAAGGAGAAGGGGATCGTCACATACCTCATTGTGGTGCCCAAGCAGCCCCTCAAGAACGGGATCAACGGAGTGGTGAGTGACCTTCCTCCTCCTCCAGCTCCTTTCATCTCCCCCGTTGCCACCTTCTGTTCCATGACCTGCCCTGGGCTCCGTTCTCCGGCTTGCGAAGCCCTGTCTCCGTCTCTGCCCTTCTCATGCATGCCAAGAGGTGTGAATACTTGGCCCCAGCCTCCTCTCTCCTGGCTCCCCATTCCTGTGAGCCTCTGGTTCTAAAACCTTCAGCGCTCCTGTCCCTTTCCTAAAGAGACTTAATCCATCTCTGCCATCCGTAACTTCTACTGCTCCTTAATAACCACCCTACGTCTTCCTCTGCTCCAGTCACTCTCGTCCCTCCAAGACACCCCCTCCGCCCCCGTTCCTGAGCCACCCTTCCTCTTTCCCATATTGGTAGCCTCATGGGTGAATTTCACCTTATGCAGCGAGGCCAGCATGAGGCCTAGGCAGCATGGCCAGGAAACAGAACGCCGCATCCCGAGTCGTTCCCCCTTGTTATAGCCCTCGCTCCTGATGGCTGAATTCCCACCTGCTCCTTTGTGTTCTAGAAGCTGTCCCTGACGTCCTCCCATGGGAACTCCCCGCTGCTGATCAACACCAAGGAGTGTAACGGCAGCATCAACACCACCTGCACCACGCCCGACGAGGCCGAGGAGCTGGACACCAGGGTGAGAGCCGCCCTGGGGAGAGAGGAGGCTGGGGAGGGGTACTGGAGCCCAGCAGCAGGGGCTGCCCCCGGGCATTTAGAGTCGCAGCAGGCTCGAGGGTGACCAGACAGGGCGGGTACTTGTTACCCCTGGGGTCTGATCACCCTGTAGAATTCTGACACAAGGAGAAGGGGGACAAGCACGTGGGCCTTGTACTTCTCTGCCAGGCTATGAATGGAACTGGCCACGGTGACCCTCCCCGTATGGGGGAAGGGGTGGGGTTCTACTAAGAATGAGGGGCCAGGTCCTCAGCTGGTGGAAATGGGCTCGGCTGCATGGAAGTCGGTGGAGCAAGGCCCATTCACACCTGCTGGGGATCTGGCCCAGGCTGGCCAGTGGCATTCAAGAGGAGATGGCCTGTTTCTCAGGTTGCACTTCTGGTTTTGTCAGCCAGTAAACCCGGGGGTTTGCCTTCGTCTGACTCTCCCCCCCGCCCCCCTCCTCCCCCGCAGGTGGTGAACCCCTCCTTCCCCAACCCCCGGCGGCGACTGCGCCTGCGAGACCTGGCCGAGAGAGTCGTCGACGCCTCGCAGAACGAGCAGGACCTCAACAACCTGCTCAACGAAGCCCTGCTGGAGAGGGAGTCTGTGCAGGCGTGAGTGGTCCCAGCCCCTCCATGTCAGGGGGGGCTCCCCAGTGCAGCCCGGCTACAGGGACCCAGTCCCAGCCCCTCCATGTCAGGGGGGGCTCCCCAGTGCAGCCGGCTACAGGGACCCAGTCCCAGCCCCTCCATGTCAGGGGGGGCTCCCCAGTGCAGCCCTGCTACAGGGACCCAGTCCCAGCCCCTCCATGTCAGGGGGGGCTCCCCAGTGCAGCCCAGCTACAGGGACCCAGTCCCAGCCCCTCCATGTCAGGGGCCCCCCCCGCTACAGGCCCAGTCCCGCCCCCTGGTCACGGGGCCCCCAGTGCAGCCCGCTACAGGGACCCAGTCCCAGCCCCTCCATGTCAGGGGAGGCCCCAGTGCAGCCCAGCTACAGGGACCCAGTCCCAGCCCCCCTGGGTCACGGGGTGCTCCCCAGTGCAGCCGGCTACAGGGACCCAGTCCCAGCCCCTCCATGTCAGGGGGGGCTCCCCAGTGCAGCCTACAGGGACCCAGTCCCAGCCCCTCCATGTCAGGGGGGGCTCCCCAGTGCAGCCCAGCTACAGGGACCCAGTCCCAGCCCCTCCATGTCACGGGGGCTCCCCAGTGCAGCCCGGCTACAGGGACCCAGCCCAGCCCCCAGTGGGGGCCCCCAGTGCACCCGGCCCCCCCCCGGGGGCTCCCCAGTGCAGCCCAGCTACAGGGACCCAGTCCCAGCCCCTCCATGTCAGGGGGGGCTCCCCAGTGCAGCCCGGCTACAGGGACCCAGTCCCAGCCCCTCCATGTCAGGGGGGGCTCCCCAGTGCAGCCCGGCTACAGGGACCCAGTCCCAGCCCCCCATGTCACGGGGCCCCGGCCCCGCCCCCCGCCCGGCACAACCCAGCCCAGCCCCCCATGTCGGGGCTCCCCAGTGCAGCGGCACAGGGACCCAGTCCCAGCCCCCCCGGGCCCCCGCAGGGCTCCCAGGCTACGGCAGCCCCTCCATGTCAGGGGGCTCCCCAGTGCAGCCCGGCTACAGGGACCCAGTCCCAGCCCCTCCATGTCAGGGGGCTCCCCAGTGCAGCCCGGCTACAGGGACCCAGTCCCAGCCCCTCCATGTCAGGGGGGCTCCCCAGTGCAGCCCGGCTACAGGGACCCAGTCCCAGCCCCTCCATGTCAGGGGGGGCTCCCCAGTGCAGCCCGGCTACAGGGACCCAGTCCCAGCCCCTCCATGTCAGGGGGGTGCTCCCCAGTGCAGCCCGGCTACAGGGACCCAGTCCCAGCCCCTCCATGTCAGGGAGGCTCCCCAGTGCAGCCCAGCTACAGGGACCCAGTCCCAGCCCCCCAGCAGGGGCTCCCCAGCGGTCACGGCCCCCAGTCAGGGGGCTCCCCAGTGCAGCCCGGCTACAGGGACCCAGTCCCAGCCCCCCTCCGCCCCAGGCGCCGGCTAGGGACCCAGTCCCAGCCCCTCCATGTCAGGGGGCTCCCCAGTGCAGCCCGGCTACAGGGACCCAGTCCCAGCCCCTCCATGTCAGGGGGCTCCCCAGTGCAGCCCGGCTACAGGGACCCAGTCCCAGCCCCTCCATGTCAGGGGGGGCTCCCCAGTGCAGCCCGGCACAGGACCCAGTCCCAGCCCCTCGAGGCCCCAGGGACCCAGTCCCAGCCCCCCTGGGTCACGGGGTGCTCCCCAGTGCAGCCCGGCTACAGGGACCCAGTCCCAGCCCCTCCATGTCAGGGGGGGCTCCCCAGTGCAGCCCGGCTACAGGGACCCAGTCCCAGCCCCTCCATGTCAGGGGGGCTCCCCAGTGCAGCCCGGCTACAGGGACCCAGTCCCAGCCCCTCCATGTCAGGGGGGCTCCCCAGTGCAGCCACAGGGACCCAGTCCCAGCCCCTCCATGTCAGGGGGCTCCCCAGTGCAGCCCGGCTACAGGGACCCAGTCCCAGCCCCCCCATGTCAGGGGGTTCCCCCGGGGGGCCCGGGGGCCACAGGGACCCAGTCCCAGCCCGTCACATGTGGGGGCTCCCCAGTGCAGCCCGGCTACAGGGACCCAGTCCCAGCCCCTCCATGTCAGGGGGGCTCCCCAGTGCAGCCCGGCTACAGGGACCCAGTCCCAGCCCCTCCAGTGGGGGCCAGAGGCACAGGCCAGTCCCAGCCCCTCCATGTCAGGGCCCCAGTGCAGCCCGGCTACAGGGACCCAGTCCCAGCCCCTCCATGTCAGGGGAGGCTCCCCAGTGCAGCCCGGCTACAGGGACCCAGTCCCAGCCCCTCCATGTCAGGGGGGCTCCCCAGTGCCAGGGACCCAGTCCCAGCCCCCCTGGGTCACGGGGTGCTCCCCAGTGCAGCCCGGCTACAGGGACCCAGTCCCAGCCCCTCCATGTCAGGGGGGCTCCCCAGTGCAGCCTGGCTACAGGGACCCAGTCCCAGCCCCTCCATGTCAGGGGGGGCTCCCCAGTGCAGCCCGGCTACAGGGACCCAGTCCCAGCCCCTCCATGTCAGGGGAGGCTCCCCAGCACCCACAGGGACCCAGTCCCAGCCCGCTGGGTGGGGCCCCCAGTGCAGCCCGGCTACAGGGACCCAGTCCCAGCCCCCCTGGGTCACGGGGTGCTCCCCAGTGCAGCCCGGCTACAGGGACCCAGTCCCAGCCCCTCCGGGTCAGGGGGCTCCCCAGTGCAGCCCAGCTACAGGGACCCAGTCCCAGCCCCTCCATGTCAGGGGAGGCTCCCCAGTGCAGCCCGGCTACAGGGACCCAGTCCCAGCCCCTCCATGTCATGGGGGGCTCCCCAGTGCAGCCCGGCTACGGGGACTCAGTCCCAGCCCCACTGGGTCACCAGGGGCTCCCCAGTGTAGCCCTGCTGGGACCTGCCCAGCCACCTCAAACCTGCCGTAGTGTCCTCCTCAGCCCAGAGACTAACTGAGCTGCAATGGATCTGCTCTCCTTTCACCGCTAATGGGGGTTACATGCACTGCGTATCAGCCAGCCCAGCGGTGCCCTGGGAACAAGGGTCGGGTACGGTGTGTGTCTCAAACAGCACCAGGATGCCATTGATTGAAGGTGCTGTTCCCCTACCTCCTCCTGTGGGGGCTGTACCCTTTGCCCCCAGATACCCTGTCCTCTCCTTCAAATCCTCTTCCTCTCTCCAGGATGCCACAGGGATCCTCTTCCTCTCCCCTCTCCCCGGGATGCTCTTTCCCACGGCCCTCGTTTCTTCCCTCATGGTGATGGCAATGCCCTTGCAGCAGCCCCCCAGCAGAGTAAGGACCCTCCCTCTCCTTTTCCCCTTTGCCCACGGCCTCCAGCATCTCACCAGGGTTCGCGGTGTCTCCGGCAGGCTGAAGGGGAAGTACACCTACCGCCTCTCCATGCGTTTCATCAACCCGGAGATGGAGACGCGCTACTCTGTGGAGAAGGAGAAGCAGAGCGGGGCCGCCTTCAGCTGCTCCTGCATGGTGCTCTTCTTCACCGCCCTGGTAGAGATCTTAATCGATCCCTGGTGAGCAGGTCGATCTGGGCAAGGAGCAGGGGCTGTGTCTGTGCAGCCCCTGGAACAACAGGGCTCTGCGCTGGGTTGGGGGCCTCTAGGGCTGGGAAGGATTACCCTGCCCCACCCCTCACCCTGGGCAGAACTGTAGAGTGGGCCAGGTGCATCACTTCCTACACATATTCCCCCAGAGGCCTGGTTGATTCCTCCTGGGCTGGACTTGTGTGTGGCTGTATTCACCTGAGGTGCCCTAGAAACCCAGGGAGGCCGGGGTGAGCAGGCCTGGCCCCCAGAAGGTATGTTTGGCAGGGAGATGGAGCAAACACAGCCTAGGCAGTGGCAGTTAAAGCTTCCCCAGCACCATCCTGCCCCAGCTCCTCAGCTCTGACCTAGAGCGACCAGCTCTTGGGAGACACTGGGCTTTCTCTCCACGGCCTGCGGAGTCCTTGCCCTCTGGGCTGAGACTGCCAGCCAGGATGCTGACTGCAGGGGTAGCCTATATAATGTGAACCCCAGATCCTCAGGGACTGGGCTGAGACCTCCCCCAAACTCATTTCACAGAGGCCACTCTACAGCCCATCACGCGGCATCTGTCTTGAATGACTCTTGCCAGGCTGCAGCAGGGACCGTGGGTATGGAGAGTTCCCTGGGCCCTCAGCCCCCAGGTTTTCCTCTTTTCTCTCTGGCTGCTCTTGGGCTCTCCCGGGAGCAGCACCTGTTCTGAGAGCAGCTGCCAGGGGATGTCGAGCCGGCCAGTGGGGCGGTTTGCCGGGCGAGAGCCGCCGGCTGTGAGAGCAGAGCCTCTGAGTGAAGCCTTAGCCACCCTGCTCAGAGCGCAAAGCACTGCAGCTTGTCCTCACTACGTCCTATTAACAATCGCCTCTGCCCGCACTCCTGGGGAAGGGCAATCAAATAATGAATCGACGGGACCAAGTGACCGTGCAGTGCCAGCCTCCCTCCCTATCTGATTGTGGGCAGGTTGCCATGGGAATGCCCGGTGAGAACATGCATTTGCCATGCTGCTCCAGGGCTGGTACCCTGCCTCAAGCCTAGCAGGAAAGTGACTGTGTGGCCCTAATGCTTAAATCGTTAGCTCTCCAGGGCATATCTCCCTATGTGTTCGGAAAGCCCTGGGAGCTACATGGCTGTTGTACGCCATCAGTGTTACCTGTTATTTCTTGAAGGGGAATGGCAAGTGGGAATGGGGCAAAGCCCAGAAATCGGCACTGCTGTGAAAAGCCCCTGGCTCTTCTGGCTTCACTAGAGCTCCCCTGAAGACCTTCTCTTTGGGACTGTAAGGTCCTTCCAGCAGGGGCTTTGTTTAGACATCTGTCCTGCACAGAACCACGCCCACTGTTGGTGCTTTGCAAATTCTTGTTGTCCACAGTGTTGCTACAGGGGGCGGGGATGCTGGAAAAGCCAGCCAGCTTTCACAGGAGTTGGAAGGATTTTTAGGAAGCTTAGTTAAAAAGTGTGTTGAAATAACATCCCCTCTTCGCCCCACACTCTCAGGGACTAATATGGGCCCTGTTCCTGTAGTATCCGAGCACTTCACAACCCTTCATGTAGTTATCCCTTCAGCAGCCCTGTTATCCCCATTGTACAGATGGGAAACTGAGGCACAGAAGGGTATGTGACTTGCCTATGATCACACCAAGTCTGTGGCTGAGCTGGGAATTAAACCCTTGTCTCCCAAGTCCCAGGCTAGCGCTTTGTCATCCTTTTGCTCTCATATATATTCCCCCTCAAGAGTTGGCCACAACACAGACCCTCTTCCACATCCCCTGGAGGAGTAGCCAGTCTAGTTACTGGCTGCAAACAACATCCATTAGCTCCGTGTCTGCTTTGCCTTTTGAGAACATGGGCTTGGGAAGTGACCTGCAGCTTTCTCAGCCCCACGCTGGCTACTTTCTGTCCTCTGCTTGCGTTGCGCTGCCCGCTCTTCCTAGCCCTGCTGCAGGCTCTCTGCACTGTTCATGCTGGTGGTGCAGAACTGAGTGAAACGTATTCAGCAATCTAATGTTGCTGTGAAAAGCAGTGGAATCCTGTGTGAACCCACTGGGCTGTGTGGGTAGCACCGTCACTGGAATAACCTCCCACAGGGTTGGTTTTTAACTCTCTCTTTCTCTGCAGGCTGGTGGCCAATTATGTGACGTTTGTAACTGGAGAGATCCTGCTGCTCATCCTGACTCTCTGCTCTCTGGCCGCCATTTTCCCCAGGGTAAGAGACAGAGGACCTGCTCCTGAAAGGTGCTGTGCACCCGCGACTCCGAAGGAGTCAGTGGAAGCGGATGGAATCTGCCCTTCTCAACTGTGTGTCATAGGCCCCATATTGCTAATAGCTAATGGAGAGTCCCCTTTAGCTCTGGTCATAGAGGGAGGAACTTTTGCAGTAGGAGGGTCTGTCTCCACATGAGAACGGCCATAATGGGTCAGACCAAAGGTCCATCTAGCCCAGTAACCTGTCTTCTGACAGTGGCCAATGCCAGATGCTTCAGAAAGAATGAACAGAACAGGGAATCATCCAGTGACCCATCCCCTGTCACCCATTCCCAGCTTCTGGCAAACAGAGGCTAGAGACACCATCCCTGGCCATCCTGGCTAATATCCATTGAGGGACCTATCCTCCAATCCTTCATGTGCTGTGAAGTCCTTCGTGACCAAGGATTTGTTGAAATGTTGTAAAGATCAGTTCTACAAAAGCAGAAACGTACTGAAACATGTTGGTGTCCTTGAGTTACTAGTTCCTCCCCCTTGACCAGCTGTTTCTCTTTGGCCAAGTATCCATCACTACATCCAACAATGCTGTGTAGGTACCTTAGCTGGATGTTTCTCCTAAAGCGATCGGCGCTGAACCAGTGAACTATGTTACCATTGTAATGCTCATCATTCAGCTGTGGGGTCAAATCCCCGCCCCCGCTGCTGAGGTGAATGGCGCAGTTCATACCTCTGTTGTTTTGGGCTGTCTGCAGATTCAGGAAGGCAGCACTGCTCTGTGTTTGGTAGGGTTCCTTCACAGGGGTAATGGCGAGAAAGTTAATTGAAAGCTGAGATTGTGGGCCACCCAATTTCAGCCAGGGGCGCACCCTTCATCCAGAAAACGTGGGGTTCTGGAGATACTTGATGACAATGTAGACTGCTCTCACCATGGTGTGATGGGGGGTTAACAATTGGGTCCACATCCTCAAAGGCATTTAGACCTCTAACTCCCATTGAAATGAGTGTTGACAAAGCACTTTGGAATTCTTGGTGCCAGGTACTTACAAGGTGCCCATCATTGTAGCCTCTGGGACGAAGGGTTGAGATTCACTTCATTAAAAACCTCTTCTCTTCATAGGTTTTTCCCAAAAAACTCGTAGCCTTTTCCACTTGGATCGACAGGACCCGGTGGGCCCGGAACACATGGGCCATGTCAGCCATCTTTATCCTCACCATGGCTGACATTGTGGATATGGTGAGAACCCTCTCCCCTCCCCCTGCCGCCATTTTCCCTGCCAACTCACACCAGCACGTGAGGTTGCTCCATTGGGTGCCTCGGAAGAAAAGTCTATTGACATCCAAAATCAAATGCATGAGTACAAAATGGGGAATACCTGGCTGGAGGGTTGTACGGCTGAAAAGGATCCGGGGTTATAGTGAGTCACAGATTGAATCTGAGTCAACAATGTGATGCAGTTGTGAAAAAATCTAATATCATTTGGGTGTGTATTAACAGGAGTGTCGCCTGTAAGACAGGGGAGGTAATTGTTCCACTGTACTTCGCACTGGTGAGGCCTCAGCTGGGGAACTGTCACTTTAAGAAAGATGTGGATAAACTGGAGAGATGTGGATAAACTAATAACTAGAACAGTGCGTCTCAACCAGGGGTTCACATACCCTAGGCATATGCAGAGATCTTCCAGGGGGTACATTAGCTCATCTAAATATTTGCCTTGTTTCACAATGGGCTACATAAAAAGCACTAACAAAGTCAGTAGAAACGAAAATTTCATGCAGACAATGACTCGTTTTGTACACAGCTGTATTTATATTCTAATTGATTTACTTATACTTATATGGTAAAAAGGAGACAGTAAACAATTTTGCAGTCACAGTGCCCTGTGACACTTTTGTCTTTTTATGTCTGACTTTGTAAGCAAGCTGTTTTTAACTGAGGTGAAACTTGGGGGTACACAAGACAAATCAGACTCCTGAAAGGGGGACAGTAGTCTAGAAAGGTTGAGAGCCATTGCTTTAGAAAACCTGATCTATGAAGAAAGGTTAAAAAAGCTGGGCATATTTTAAGAAAAAAAGGCTAACTGGGACCTGACAACAGTCGTCCACTGTTAAGGGCTGTTATAAAGAGGAGGTGATCAATTGCTCTCCGTGTCCACTGGAGGTAGGACAAGGAGGAATGGGTTTAACCTGCAGCAAAGGAGATTTAGGTGAGATATTAGGAAAACCTTTCTAACTAAGGCCAGTTACGCTCTGGAACAGGCTTCCAATGGAGATGTGGAATCCCCATCATCGAAGGTTTTAAGACCAGGTTGGAAAACCCCTGTCCGGGATGGTCCAGGTTTACTTGGTCCTGCCTCTGCGCAATGGGCTGGACTCGATGACTTGTTGAGCTCCCTTCCAGCCTGGGAGGCCCATTAGCACCACTGGGTCCTGTGCAGCCCTGGAGTATCTTCATGCCTGGTCTGGGTTTGGACCACGGTGCCTATTTATAAACCTCTCGGTGTGGGTGGCTGACCCCATCCTGCCTGCACTGTTCCTGTCCCTAGCCCATGCAGGCAGGGAGCTCAAAATGCTATTACTCAGTTTATACGTCCGTTCTGACCTTCCCGTTCCGGGTGCACCAATAATTGTTCAGAGCACCATGCCCTGCAGGCCATTAAACAAAAGTAGCAAAGATCGACAGCAGCCAGACATCGTTAGCAGTGTTATTAATGGGTGAATCCCGAGGGCCTGATGCCGACAGCCCTTCCGCAGCCGTGTCACTCCACCCCCCGATTTACATGGCCATGAGGACAATCAGACCCAGTGTTCGCATTTACACCAGCTGAAGTGATCCTAAACGTTCCAGTGCTAAAGCTAGGGGCCGACCTGAGTGGGACCATGCATCCTCCTCGCTAATTGGAAGCGGGGGCAACCAGGGAGAGGATGAGTCCCAGCATGCAATGCTCTGCCTCCCTCCTAAGAGCCCAGCATCACCGTGTGATAGGGTCTCTCAGCAGCTCCATGGTCAATGACGGGGCAGCCCAGACACCTACATTTAGCAGAGACCAGGTGCAGCCCGGGGCTCCTGGCAGGTTGCCAACCACATCATACTTTACAGCAGCGACCTCAGCCGTCCTAAAGGGAGGAAACGGGACTTTCCAAGGGCTACAGATTCTTCATAAGGGCCCAAGTTCCCATCTAGACACAAGCTCCAATTCTTCCTTCCTGACCCCATCCCACTGCTCTGCAGCTGCCTATCAGCTTATGCCCTGAAGCATGAGGTTTGATCCTCCTCTGGCCATTACCTTATCTTTCCAAGGTCCATATGTGATCAATGGTGATAACAGTACCCAGCTGTGTGCAGGGGTGACAACGGGTGGGTTTCTGCCTGGGGAAGGCTCTGTCGTGTTTGGCTAGGTTTCCTATAGCACCTGGCCATCTGTGCGGCACGGACAGTCCCTGTTGTGTTTGGGCACCATTACTGAATTAAACATGGTAACCAGCAGTGGAGCCTTTCACCCCTGAGTCGCTGGTTCAAAGCGAGCCCAGATCAGTGAAAACCACAAGCCCTTAGCCTCGGAGAGCTGCGTGAAAGCCTGGAGAAGTGGGAGTCCAGTGCATGGTGGCCCAGGTAGCCACATCACAAGGAAAGCCACCTCCTCTGGAACTAACGTGCTGACAAGGCCTGCATGGCCCATGCAGCTCAGCTGCCCTCTCTGACCTCTCCAGCCCAGGGTCTGAGGCAAGGCAGAGTGGGCCGCTGCCGGCAGGGAGCGCTAAATGCCATTACTCAGTTTACACTCAGGGCACTGACTTTGAGGAGACCTGGGACTTCAGGCTTGGGCCACTCCGATCCAGTCCGGCCATTGGTACGTAACAGCCTGCAGCCCCTCACCCATCTCTCTGCCGCCCCCACAGCTCAGCTGCCTGCAGTTCTACTCCAGTACCAGCAACAGCACCGCGGGGACCCTGCTGGCGGGGGGCTGCGTGGAGGACCCCAAGTATTACAGCTTCATTGCCGTGCTGGCCCTCATCGCCAGCATCATGCTGGTGCAGGTCAGCCACATGGTCAAGCTCACCCTGATGGTCATGATCACCGGGGCCGTGGGTGTGGTCAACATCTATGCCTGGCAGCAGATCTTCGACGAGTACGATAAGGAACGCTTCCAGGAGAACGTGTAAGGGCATTGGGCGTGGCGGGCATAGCGGGACCGGCCAGCGCTCCAGGAGCAATGTAGGACTGTTCCCTATTATGGTCCTGGTTTGGTCCAGTTTCAGCCCTTCCACCCCTCCCCTGGGGAGACCATTCCACAGCCCAGAGTGGGGAGACGTTTCCTCCCTGTCCAGTCTGCCCCCTTCTGCACCAATCCATCCCCTCTCTCCCAGTTCTTCCGCCCGTGTCGCACCCTAAACAATCCCCTCTCCCTAATGCAAACACATGGCCGTGGCTGCTTAATTGCTTTGGGGGGAGGGGAGTGGCTGTAACCCTTGGGTGCTCCCAGCTGGTCCAAAGGCAGCTGTTCTCAGCTGATGGCCGAACGGGACAAGAACTCCTTTCATCAAGTGGCTGTTTGGGTTGTCCCTGTCAGGCCTCTCATGGAGCTGCCCCTGCATCCTTCCAGCAGGGGCTAGCGGGACAAGGGAAAGCCCCTTGAAGGTCTTCAAAGCCCTCGTGATCGCTGGGTGCCGGCCTGGGTGTAAGGATATGCTGGCTGCCATGGAATGGGAGGCAACCCAGCCATGGTGGGATGAACATGGCTCATTCATCTCTCCTTCGGCAGGTCCGCCCTGGTTCCCTCCAAGTACTCCATGACAGTGATGGTCTTCATCATGATGCTCAGCTTCTACTACTTCTCTCGCCATGTGAGTGATCTGTCCAGCTCCCCTTCCTTTTCCATCCTCACCCTCCTGGGATCCCTGGAGTTCTCCTGGCACAGCCACCAACAGGGCATTGGGACACACAGCCACCTTCCCCTGCACTGCCCCACTGGAGGGCACCCTGTCCCATGCAGAGCCCCCTCTCTCTCTGTTCTTCAGTTCTCCTACATGCATCCCTCCCTTCCCAAGTCGCTTGTGTCTCTGCCTCTCTCTTTTCCATCTCTGCCTTCCCTTCTCCTTTGCGGTTTCTCTTGGTTCCTTGTCTCACTTGTTCCTAGCCCTTCTCTAGCTCCCTGCAACCCAGCGCTGAGCTGGAAGGGTTTGGCTAGGTTTCCCTCCCCCACCTCCTTATTCCCCCCTGTACCTGCATTTCCCTCTCTCCCGTCTCTTTGTTCTCTCTCTCTCTTTCTCTCACACTGCCCTGCCCTCTTGCTGGAGCCGTGAGTGGCCCAAAGATCCATCAGGAGCCACGTCCATCTGTTTTGTGCCTAGCTGCTGGAGACCATCTTTGGATGGCTCTTGGATGGTGTAGCATTCTCTGAAAGGGCTACCTTCGCACAGCAGCCAGGAAGCCCATAGCCTGCTGACCTGGAAAGCTCCCACCTGTGGGTGTTGGAGTGACTGCGTCACCGCAGTGAAAAGCTCGGCGCAAGAGAGACGGGGGCAGGGCAGTGAGAGGCAGTGGTGTTGAGTGGTTAGAGCAGAGAACTGGGTGGCGGGACTCTTGCGTTCCGTTCCTGGCTCTGCCACAGACATGCCCACGGTACTGTAAGCGGGTCCTGCCCCAGCCCTGCGCCTCAGTGAGACCATGGGGAGGTCACTGTGTCTGAAGCACTGTAAGGCCCTGTCTGACTGCAGCACTTGCCCCTCCTGCAGGTGGAGAAGCTGGCCAGGACATTGTTCCTGTGGAAGATCGATGTCCATGACCAGAAGGAGCGGGTGTACGAGATGAGGCGCTGGAATGAGGCTCTGGTCACCAATATGTTGCCAGAGCATGTGGCCCGACATTTCCTGGGCTCTAAGAAACGGGACGAGGTGAGAACGGGCGAGCCAGACACTGTGACATGGGGAGAGCTGAAGTTTCCAGTCTCCTTCCATTGGCCTCCCAGCCCAAGCCAGAGACTCCTAGAAATCAGAGATGGAAGGAAACTTACCTAGGCCCCTCACTCAGAGCCAGTGCTAGGGCATTCCCTGCACATCTGCCTCTGCAGCTTGCCCCAGCTGTGATGGCTGCCTCCTGTCCAGCCTTCCCTGCTCCGTGCGGGTGAAGGACCCAGTCTCTGGTCATGCCAGATCTGTGGAGGCTTCTCACACAGGGGTGAACTCAGCCTGAGTGAGCAGTGTGGGGCTCACAGGAGTGCCCCCTTCTCCTGCCAGCTGTGGAAGCAGCGGGGTAAGGAGTGCCAGCCACCCTGTATTGGAGGAGAGGGGAGGGAAAGGTGCACAGAAATGAGGGATCGAAAAAGCCGGTGAGGTGACCTGGTCCAGCTTCTCCCCCACATCGGCAGGAGTCGGGCTGGGCGGGCTGGAGAACGAGAAGCTGCCTGAGGGGTTCCTGTGTTGCCCAACGGAGTGGGCACTGGGCTAGGGGAATGACTCTCCCGCGCACGCTCTAAAACCAACAGTGTGGCCACAGTGTCCTGGGTGGCTGCCTGAGCACAACCCCGGCTGAGATCCGAGGCACGTACTCGGGCAGCTCACTTGAGCCGCTGTCGCGGCCGCCCTGCTAATGTCAGCACGCGAGCTCAAGCAGAGCTAGTATGTGTATGCCCACCTGAGCTGGGCATCACACCTCCCAGCTGCCGTGTAGATGGACCTCAACCCCAACCCTGGGGCTAAAGCCAGCCCTGCCACTGATCTCGTGGGGGACCTCGGGCAAGTCCCTTAATCTCGCTGGGCCGCAGTTCTGGAAAGTGGGGATGAGGCTTACCTACCTCCCAGGGAGCTGTGAGGATAAATCGATTAATGATGGCGTGCGAGGAGGGCCGGAGAAGCCCCTTAGCACGTTGGATTATACGGGCAGATTGAGAGGAGTGGCTGGGGTCTGTGCCCCAGTTTTAAAAAGCTGGGTGCCCTTCCTGGTGAAGTCAGCTCCACCCCATTCACTACAGCTCTCTTCACCGTGAGACCAAAACCAGCCCCACACCAGGAGAAATGTGGGTGGGGGGGGGTCTCCCAAGGGCCGGAGCTGACACCCCCTGTGCGGAGTGGGGTGGATGCCATTTTCTGATGCACTTCTAAGGGCAAAACTGAACCTCTCTTGGACTCCATGGGGCCAGCTGTAAAAAAAACAGGCACTGATGCCTTCCCCACAGGGGTTTGTGAAGGGCCTGAGATCTGTACGTGAGTGATGTTATGGGGGCCCCCAGGCTGCCCCCGGGGATCCCGTCACTAACCCTTGTGCTCTGCCCAGCCAGCCCTGTGGAATGCTGACCGGTAGGTTAGATAGGGAGTGCCCACTGCTGTTACTCAGCCCCACCCAATGGGCTTTGGGAGGAAATTGGGCGCATAGGTGAGTTTGTGGCTCAGTGGAGCCAGGGGAGCTCACAGGGTGACCAAGGTGGGAGGAGTTTTGTCAGGGGCTCTTCGGGACTGTCTACGCTGCAGTTAAACACTCGCGGCTGGCCCATGTCAGCTGACGTGGGCTCATGCTAAAGGGTGGCTTAATTGCAGGGTAGCTGTTCTGGCTCGGGTGGGAGCCTGAGCGCTGGGACACCCCCCCCCCAACCTCTTGTGGGGTCCCAGAGCCCAGGCTGTAGCCCGAGAGAGCTGACACGAGCCATCCGCAGGTGTTTAACTGCAGCGTGTAGCCGTACCCTTCAATGTGCTAGAGCCGGGGGTCTCAAACTTTTGTACTGGTGACCCCCTTTCCCATAGCACGCCTCTGAGTGCGACCCACCCTTACCAATTAAAAACACTTTTTAATGTATTTAACAGCATTATAAATGCTGGAGGCAAAGCAGGGTTTGGGGTGGAGGCTGACAGCTCGCGACCAACCCCCCCCCCCCCATGTAATAACCTCACGACCCCCGAGGGGGGGCCCGACCCCCACTTTGAGAACCCCTGTGCTAGAGCGACTAGGGCTGCAGGTTTAATAAGGAGCCGGGTAGCAGAAGCAGTTGCATTGTACAGAACTAGTGAGCCCAGTAGATGGCTTGGGCTGCCCTAGAATAATAAGCGGGTTGGCTCCGTGGCATCTCTGGGTGTCCTCCCCCGGCTGGGTACAGCTAATATAGTGCAATACACGAGCGTGCACTGCAGGCCTGAGTGACAGGCCTGCTTCCTGGTCCCGCAGGAGCTGTACAGCCATTCGTACGACGAAATTGGCGTCATGTTTGCCTCCCTCCCAAACTTTGCTGACTTCTACACGGAGGAGAGTATCAACAACGGCGGGATCGAGTGCCTGCGCTTCCTCAACGAGATCATCTCGGACTTCGACGCGGTGAGTCCAGCCTGGACGCCAGCCTTCCCCAATGCCAGTCGGACGCTGGCCCTTCAAGGGAGCACTTGGGAGGGTGTGGTCTGGAAGTGAAACGTAGGCCACCCCCGCTGGCATACAGAGCTCTCTCCTGGCCAAGCTGAGCAACTCTCCCTGTGGGGTCCCCTTGCTGAGACTGCTACTGGATGGGACTGTAAGCAGCCTTAGTTTGGGGCCAGCGCCTTCCCATTGCCAGCTGTCCAGATGTGCATTCCCTACTGCTGCCCATCCCACTTGGAACCAAGCTTCACGCCCTGGAGACTACAGATCCCAGCATGCAATGCGGCACCAGGTTCTGAGCAGCCTCCCCTTAGTTTCAGAGAGAGCAGTGCATGCTGGGCCATGTGGTATCCATGAGCTGCCTGTCCAGAGTCCAGGGGAGGGTAACTGTGCTCCCAGTGTAGAGGTCAACTGGCTGCAGGATGCGTTCTGGCCTCTCCAAAAGAAGCCTGCAGCCAGGGCATCAGTAGATAAAATGAGCCAGCGAATCTGCTAACCAGCCACCAGGTGTCACTGTTGTTTTAAATACAGTCGAACCTGAGCATTCGGCACAGCTGGGGAAGGGAGGTGGTTCATAAGTCTGAAATGTTGGTAACTCTGAACTAAACGTTGTGGGTCTCGCACACGTTCACAACCGAACATTGACTGAATACAGCTTTCAAACTGTACTATGCAGAAGAATAAGGAAAAGTTATTTACTTGTTCCCGTAATATAAGAACTAGGGGCCACCAAATGAAACGAATGGGCAGCAGGTTTAAAACAAATAAAAGGAAGTTGTTCTTGACACGGCGCAGAGTCAACCTGTGGAACTCCTTGCCTGAGGAGGTGGTGAAGGCTAGGACTATAACAGGGTTTAAAAGAGAACTGGATAAATTCATGGAGGCTAAGTCCATTAGCCAGGATGGGTAAGGAATGGTGTCCCTAGCCTCTGTTTGTCAGAGGGTGGAGATGGATGGCAGGAGAGAGATCACTGATCATTACCTGTTGGGTTCGCTCCCCCTCGGGTACCTGGCATTAGGCCACTGTCGGCGGACAGGATTCTGAGCTGCATGGCCCTTTGGTCTGACCCAGTATGGCCGTTCTTATGTTCTTAAGAAAAATGCTGCTTTTACCCATCTTAATTTAAACGAAACAAGGGCAGAGTTTCCTTATCTTGTCAAATCTTTTTTTGTTAGTCATTTATGCTTAACACAGCACTGTACTGTAGTTGCTTTTTGTTTGTCTCTGCTGCTGCCTGACTGCATACTTCTGGTTCCAAATGCGGTGTGTGGGTCACCAGCCAGTTCGTAACTCTGAGGTTCAACTGTAACTACAGCTAATTCTGGCCTGACACAAGTTCCTGTAACCGCACCACTCATCAGCCTTTGAGCTGTTTTTCCAGCCACCTCCTTTGTTTGTGGCTTTTTCTCCTGTATCTCACAGCTCCTGGATGATCCCCAGTTCCGGTGCATCACCAAGATTAAAACTATTGGAAGCACCTACATGGCTGCTTCTGGAGTGACCCCTGATGTCAATACCAATGGCTACAACACCACCATAAAGGTACAGGGACAGCAAAGAGAGGGAGGTTGGGGAGGAGGTGAATTGGGCTGTCTGAGAACTCAGGCCTGATGGGGAAGGATGGAGAAAGGGGAATGGGACAGGCTGATCACTGCCTCCTGGGGTGTGGGAGGGTCTTTTTACCTCCCTCAACCTCTGCCCTTGGCTTTGCACTGCCCTTGCAGAAAGAGGAGCTCTCGGAGAAGGAGCGTTGGCAACACTTAGCTGATTTGGCCGACTTTGCCTTAGCCATGAAAGTGACCCTGATGAACATTAACTACCAGTCCTTCAACAACTTCATGCTCCGAATAGGCAAGTGCTGCGCCCTGGGAATGACTGGAGTCTGCTGACTGGGTAGGAGATTGAATGGGGGTAGTCACACTCCAGCACTCTGAGACCAACCAGCCCCGCAAGCAGAGAAGGGCTTCAACTCCGATCCCTGCATGCGGAACACTGAGCTGTCACTGAAATATCTGTGTCTTGTTTTCTTTCATTTGTGAATTCCTTTAGGGTGAGGCCTTTAGTTTGTCCCATTACTCTCCCAGCCCTTTTCCAGGTGAGCAGAGACATGGCAGAGTGACTATCAAGCAGATCATTTATTGTTGCTGCTGGCCATAGACAGACTCTGTGCTTCTCCCTAGCTCCCAGACTGGCTTGTGTCAGCACCCAGGGTCTCCTTAAGGCCTGACCTGGACTATGCAGCCGTAGAATGGATTGCTGAGCACTCTATGCTGGCATGGCATAGCATGCTATCCTGCGATTAGAGTAGGGAGCCAGAGACACTCGAGTTTTAATCCCAGCCCTGAGTGTGACTTGCTGTGAGGCTGCGGACACGTTGCTCCCCTTTCGGGGCCTCGGTTGCCCTGTATGGCGCTGCTAATACATAGCTATATCTCAGGAATGGGATAAGAATGAATCGTTTGCACAGAGCTGTGAAGCACTACGTGGTAGCATTCATAGCAGTATGAAATGGAAGAACCTTGGTAAAGGGCCCAGCCCCTTTTAGGGCAGGGTGTAGGCCCCACCAGAGCACGTCTCCAGTGGCATCCACTGTTCCCAGGAACAGACATTGTTCCACAGATCAGCCATCAACATGTTTCTCCGTGGCCTGAATGTAGCACCGGGTATGAGAACCCCAAACCCCTATTGGCTGCTGAAACATTTACAGCGCTGATCCCAGCCCCGTAGCACCACTACGTGTCAGGTGTCAATAAGACTTAATATATTTATTTTAAAGCAACTATTACATAGTAGGGGAAAGCAGGGATTAACGAAGATGCAGCCATCAGCGCTGGGCTGGTTACCACCAGGAATCTTACCATGAGCATGGCAGGAGCTCGGGGAGAGTTGCTGGCCCCAGCCCTCTGGTGCTAGCGCTGGGGGCTTGTAGCTGAAAAGTAGGGGGCCAGCAGCATGGGGAGAGGGAGCAGATAGGGGCTGGAGAAAGGATCGTCACAGCAAGGCTCCTGCTGGAGGCCGGAGCGCTACTTGCAACTTCAGCCAAACGCTGCTTTTTAGAAAAACTTCTAGGGGGACCCTCACTTACATGCAACAACTTAGTACGTGCACCATTGCGGTGTGTCCTGGCCCCCCCAGGTGTGCACTAGGGCTGTGGGTGCATGATGGGGGTGTGTGTGAGAGAGAGAGACGGCACCATGCGGGTGATAGTGCCATGGGTACTGTGTACCTGCAATACGTACTGTGGATGATGCTGGGGTGCCGCCTACGGCATGTGTGGGTGCCCTGTATATTTGTGCTCCTCTGCACCCAGGGCAAGGGCTCCCTCCCCACGACAGGACCCAGGTAGTAAAGTCAGGTTGTCCTTATGCCCCATTTCCAGGCATGAATAAAGGGGCGGTGCTGGCAGGAGTGATCGGTGCCCGCAAACCACACTATGACATTTGGGGGAACACGGTGAACGTGGCCAGCAGGATGGAGTCAACAGGCGTGATGGGGAACATCCAGGTGGGTGAGCACATCCCCCTCAGAAACGCCAGGCATGACCTGTTTCAGTTCAGATGAAAGTTGTGAGCTAGTGAAAATAGGAGGGTGGAATGGAAATGCTTAGGTAACCTTAACCATAGCACCGATAGACACTGAGAAAGAGACAGCCCCGAGGAGACAGCAATTGCAGTTTGACAGACAGGGAGGTGTGTCATATCAGAGCGAGTGCGTGTACCTCTGGAGACAGGGGAGCTACCTGACAGCCAGGTTTGGAGAATGAGGTCACCTGACTGGTGGAGGCTGTTCCAGGCCTAGGGGCCAGTGCAAAAACGAGGAAGCAAGCTGCGAGTGATGGGAGGGAGGAGAGACTGGGCAGAGGGAAAGGCATGGTTGCGTGAAGGAGCACAGAGGGAGACAGAAAATCAGATGTAGGGATTCCTATGTCAACCATTACACTTGGGGAGTGCGGGACAGGAGCTCTGGAACTGTTCCTGGGTCTGCTATACCATGAAGTCACTGAACCTCCAGATGACTCTCTGCAGCAAAGTGCCAGCTGGTCTTTGAATGAAAGAGGTGATGTAAATGCTTCATGCCTGGGGTAGAGGGTGAGGCGTTATAATGGGAAGATGTGCGTGAAGGGATGTGACAGCCCTTAGCATGGGAAATGCCCAGTAAACGCAGCTGCGTGGTCGTGTCTGCTCATCTGTGCAGGTGGTGGAGGAGACCCATCTCGTCCTGAAGGAGTACGGGTTCCGCTTTATGCGCCGGGGGACCATCTACGTCAAAGGCAAAGGGGAGTTGCTGACCTTCTTCCTGAAGGGCCGGGAGAAGCAGGGCTCTTTCGTCAATGGCTCCTCAGTGACTCTTCCACACCAGGTGGTCGACAGCTCATGATGGAGCTGGGCTCCATACTCCCACTAGTGAATGAAGTCCAGTGCCTCCCACTGGCGAGAGACAAGCAGCTTTGAGTGCCCAGCGCTCTAGAAACGAGACTGATAGTAACATCTTTCAACCTAATGTCTAGATTTAAGAGAAACCAACCCCTGGCCTGCTCCTTTTTTCCTGGAGGTTTATCTTAGAGGGGTCTGCTTGACTTCAGCTCCCCATCTGCAGCTTAGCAGAAGGGAGACGGGAGGGACTGATCCGATCCCCCTACAGCTCACACACACACACCATTGTGCTGGTGTGGGTCTGACTGTTCGGAAGCCTCACGCAGCATTTCAGGAGCACTCCCAATTGCAGTAGGCTCCTGTGTACCCTGTTAGTGTAATCGAGAGAGGCAGGTGGCTTGGATTTAATTTAGTGCCACAGACCCAGCCTCCACTTAGTGTTTGTTGCTAAGAGATAAAAACTCAGGGTGGGTGGTCAGAGGAAAAATCTCTGGTGTGCGCCAGGAGAGCTAAAACAGGAGCACTTGGGCTTTCTGTTAGTTCACAGGATGCTCATCCTTGCCCTATGCCACCGTAGCTAGGAGATCAGAGAGAGTGCAATATTTCCTTTGACTTGGAGGTGAAGAAATAAAAACCAATGTTGTGTATTTCAAATATATAAATATATATATAAAAAGATACAGATTGACATTTATATTTTTAATTGTGTCTGTTAGACTATTTGCGGATTTCTCTTTCCGATACTGCCTTGCACTCCGCTCGCTGCTGTTGTCACCTTTGCTGTCGCTTTAAGGACGAGATGGACAGGTATTGGCAAAGAACAAGACTGTTTTATTAAAGCCTTCATCCAATATTCTGTTTGAAAACAAAAGCAGTGTAATTATTTCTCTAGATTCTTGAATAGAACAAGTTGAATTTAAAAGACAGTGATTCTGTGTCCAGTTTGTCCTGAACACTTCCATGCTCTGGCTGAGGCTGCTGGATGGTCAAGTGCCTCATGGCCTCACCCCATGAGAGGCTCTGCGCAAACACAGCAAGGAAGGGAAAACACGTCCCCACATGAATTTCCAGGCCTGTAGTGTAAATACATTCTCTGAGCTGTGAAGCTACTAGGAGAGAGTAATACAAATCCTTAGCACGTGTATAACACCTTTTCAGCTGGAGGTCAGCCAGCACTTCACAGCAGTGAGTATCTTCAGGCCCTTTCCAGATGTGGAAACTAAGGCAAAGAGGCCCAATTTTTAAAGGTATTCAGGGGCCTAAAGATGTAGATTGGTGCTCAGGGGGCTTTTCAAAGGTGCGTAAGGGCTTGCCTACACTTAAACACTGTGGCAGCACAGCTGACTTTCTCCTGCTGGCGTAAGTAATTCATCCCCCTGAGAGGGGGTAGCTAGGTCGATGGAAGAATTAGTCAGTTGACCTAGCACTGGCTTCATGGGGACTTAGTCTAGCTTAACTACACGGTTCAGGGGTGTGGATTTTTCACGTGACCAATGTGGTTAAATGGACCTAATTTTCTAGTTAGACCAGATGTAAGTGACTTGCCCCAAGCTTACTTAGCTGGAAATAAAATCCAAAGGGCTTGACTCACAGCAATCTTCTTCATCCACTGGACCAGAGCCCTTGTGGGTTTCACTGTCATGAACATCACCCAGTCCCAAATTCAGTGGTGGTGTAAATGAAGTGGTAGTTGGTCATACTCTAAATAGAGGCAGAAAAGGAAAGTAGCTTGTACAGCTTGCTTGCTCTTGGGAGTGGGGGAAACAAGTAATTTACACCCATTTGGCATGTCACCCTACTATAGGTGGGTGCAGCTTTGCTGAGCCCAGGGGGTTCTAAGTATGGCCATTTACACCAGGTCTGAATTTGGGCTTAAGAACATCAAGGCCAGTGCAGCCACAATTAAAGTGTAGGTCTCATGCACCACTGCCTTGCACTGTCACTTACAGCTGTGCAAAGTGGGCGTATACACCACCAGACCAGAGGGAGGAGGACAGTTTACTTGTTAAAGCAGATGCCTAGGAGTTGGGAAACCCGAGTTCAAGTCCCTGTTCTGTCACAGATTCCCTCTGAGACGTTGTGCAAATCACTTAGAGGATCTGGGCCTAAGGTATTTAGGCTCCTAACTCCCATTGACTTCAATGAGCGGGGCCTTAGTCTCGCTGGGTATCCCTCTCCCAGCCCCAAAATAGAGATATAATACTGGCCGATCTCAAAGGGGGTGGTAGTGGTGGTGGTTCTGAGGATAAATAAAGTGTGTGAGGTGCTTAGGTAATGGGGAACTGTGTAGTACCTAAAATGGGGTTACATATACTTTGCACAGGTGTAAAACAGGTAGAGCAAGGCCCCAGCCCTCAGATCACTTCTATAGGCTCCAGCCACTTGTTTTCCCATCTCCAAAAGGGCCAGCAAACTTTGCAGAGCCTTGGCTTTCTCCCCCGCCACTCTTTCTTCCCAAATCTACCTCCACTAGTTCACCCTTGGGAAGAAGGAAAGGTTTCCTCTGAGACTGAGGTTCATACCGCAGACTCAGGCAGTAGGATGGCTCACAAACATTTGTTCCTACATGGTTCCCACATTGCAGGCTGAAGTGGCCTTGGAGAGCCTTGGTCACATTGTCCTAGACCCACCGCCTTGGTGGTCCCAGCAGCTTCTACAGCTGTCTCCATTGAAAAGAGCCTGAAAAGCTGCCGGAAACAAAGAGGGACTAATGTAGCTCCCTCTCAAATGGGCTATTGTGAAGAAAAGGAAACAGGAACCAGCAACTACCAAGGAACATCTAGGGGAAAAACTAACATAGTAGCATGATCCAGGGACTAAGGGGAGCAGAAGATGAGATAGCTGGGCAGTGGATGTTGGGGAGAAGGGCTCCAGTGAGCAAGAACATACGTATAAGGGACAAGGATGAGAAGGGGAACAGGCATCACAGAAGCATGAGCAGGGAAGCGAGAGGAATAAAAGAATGGAGAGCAATTAATATTTCCAAGCAAGGCAAAACACTCATAGCATTGGAGACAGTTAAATGAATTAGAGACATTACCTGGCAAAGTAATCGCAGTAGATGCCAGAGGGATATGATGGTACCAGTAGTGTTCAGAAGGAAACTTTCCTTAGGTTTAGTCTCCCGTCCCCCTTGGAAAAGTTTGAGCCCCTGTGCTATGCAATTCAAACACACTCAGGAACAGACTGCGTAGGTCCCCCTCAGTGCTAGAAACAAACAGCCTCTGCTACTCCTGTTGCCTGTGGGTATGTCAACAGTGTAGTGGTGTAGACAATCAGGCTTCGGCTGGTGCCTGGGCTCTAAGACCCTGTGAAGTGGGAGGGTCCCAGAGCTCAGGCTGCCAATTTTCTACATCGCAATTAAACAGCCCCTTAGCCCAAGTCAGCAGGCCCGGGCCAGCGCCAGGTGACTAAATGCAGTGTAGACGTACACCAGCAGCATTTTTATCATGCTAGTGGTCTGACCTCTGTGTTCCATCTAGGTTCTTACAGCGCACCCCTCCTGTTGGCATGCAAGAACCTGCTTGCTCTTGTCTGAGGGCTGTCTGAGATCCTGAAAGATCAGGCTTTCTGCACGTTCCTTTAAGTGACATCCCTAGCTTTCTGCTAATAGGTCAAAGAGCCCTGTAGAATAAGTGGGGGAGGGGGGTGCAATTTGACTGGCTGGTTTTCCTGCCTGTTGCTACCTCAAGAACTGTGCTAACTTTGAGTCACAGAAAAATGCACATGCAAGACAATAAATGGTTTGTTGTTTCTGTAGTGTCACCTCACGTATGACTGCTCCTGGGCTCCTCAGCCCATAGTACCCTTCATTACTTATACCATGAATATAAACACCGAGGAGAAAGCAAAATTATGTAGTGTCACACAACGAGAAACAGGAAGGAAGTAAGGCTATTGGGCAAACTTGTTCACACTAAGATCCATTAACTTGTGAAAAGGTCTGAGTGAAATGGGTGAAGCTTTGTTTGAGTCATTTACAATTACACAAACTGGAAATCACGCTCCACGGAACACTCAAACTGGCTAAGGGCGTGTGAGCAATGGACTAGAAGACCTCATTTGCAGTTCTAATACTGGTAGTTTCTGAAAACTAATTTATCTGAAACAGAAGGTCAGTAAGTTCCTTTTCTGATGACTTTTGCCACAGGTAATATAACATTAGTAATTATCTGAGATGGTTAATCAACCAGGCTTCAGCAGGAACCCAGTCCCTCTATTCTCTGTAATTAATACATTACACTTTTCAGTTTAATAATTGTTACTTCCAAGCTAGAGGAGGTTTTTGTGAAGTTAAAACTAAAAATCTTTAGGAAATAATGTTCATTTGTAATACCTGTACCGGATCAGTGTAATCTGTGCCCAGAGACAAGGGGCTGCAGAGGGTCACAGGTGTAGATTTGAGGGCTCCTCTTCCCTATAACATATGGTTAGGTGGACAGGTCATTTCATTCTCACAAGAGGAAGAGAGAAATCCCCCCTTAACCTATCGCTCCCCATAGATATGCTCCTGCATGCTCTGCAGAAATAGAATGGTATTTGCTTGTGTCAAAGCCCCCCCCTCCCCCCCCCACACACAATCTGCACACCTAGTCAGCGGCAGATGCCACTGCAGCGGCAGAGGGAGCAGCAATGGCATTGCAACAGGCAAAGGAAGAAACTGCCTTTCACCATTCTAAAAAACGATGGAGGATGCTAGCTGTTATGAACAAAGACATTTTCAGACAGGAATCTAGTTAGAGGCCATACATTATGCAACAGCAACCTGCAGGAATTTTCTGCAACCATCTGCTCAGTTCTTTCATAAATCTTCATGAGCACCCTCCCCAAATTAACTCTGAACATCAGAAGCATAGTCTTCCACTCAGAAATGATGCAGTTGTAATAAAATAAATCTCAGCCAATGTGCCATAGAACTTCAGGTTGCAATTTAAAACGATGGTCAGGTTAAATTTGGACTCCTAAACTATCTTCAAGAGTTTTAATAAACTATGTTTAAAATTCCTCTGGAACAAACCAAAATAAATCAAACATTTCCCTGCTGCATTTGCAAGCACTGCAGCACTGGGCTGGTACATGGGAAGTGGGAAGAAGAATTGCCTAGTCAAATATCACTCATCAGGCTTGAGAGAAATAATTGCCCACCATCATAGTGAAAAGTAAATTAGATTTTTAAGATTCTTGCAGTTTTAATCATGAGGCATATTTAGTAACAAGTTAAAAAGTGAAAGTGCCATTAATAATGAATTTGTAGTCAAGCCCGTAGTCTACCTCACGGAGGGTAAGAGCTCTCGTCACAAAATGCACTATCAGAGTCGGCACTAACGGCTAACATAGGCCGTGACCTATGCAGTAGGAACATTGCACCTATACAGAGCCCTATGGAAGTCATGGAGGTTGTCCTGCATGAATCCAGTTGCAGAATTGGAGCCTTCCTTAATAAGCTCAGCATGAGGCCTAGAACTAAACATGCCATTTGCAAAGCAACCTAGAGGAAGCTTACACCTGCTCTACACCATTTGATACCAGCTGGAGGGATACAGGGAAGACTGCAAGCCCCGGGGGTGTTTCCCTGACAGCTTTCACTAGGGCTAAGTTTTGTTACACTTTTGTGAAGTTTACCTGACAACTCTGAAAGTCTCTGGTTTACCATTCCAATGGGGAGATGGATTTCCTGTGTCTGTCTGCTGTCCAGTCTCGTGAAGTATTATGGAGCCATGATAGCAACTATGTTGTTAATCTGTCAGCAACCCGTTAGCAATTCACCAGAGGAGAGGGGCTCTAGAAGGATATGCAGAGACCAGGCATCTAAGGGCCGCTCAAGAAGACAGTGTTCTTAGTACTATGAACTGGTTTAGCTATTCCTCAGGCATTTTCCTGAAACTCTGCTGCAGTCCAGTCTAAAAAGCATTTACACAGTAGCAACCTCCCAGGGAGCTTTACAGCGATCAGAAAGCACCGTAAGTGCATTTCACCTGGGGACAGGGCGTTGTCTGCTTACGTCGATTGATCCAGACTTTCTGCTGCTCTTTTGAAGGAATCAAAGGCTTTGTGCAGAGCTGTGTGGCGGAATAAGTTTGAATGAGCTGCTGTCTTCTCCACCAGAGAGGCAGAAACATCCCCTGCTTCAGAGAGAAACCAACAAATCAGTGTAGCTGAAAGGAACTCAGTATTACCCCTAACACAAAGCTCCTTGCTTCTGATTTCTCTTCTCCCCACCTCTGCATATGTTGGGAGTCCCATCTGGTTTCATCTGTCACCCTCCCTTCCCCCTCTGTTCCACCTTCCTTACTCTCCACTCTGTCTCCCCTGACATGCAGCTGCTCTGAGTGAGTCTCTCCCCCAGCACTGGAGAGGAAATGGCTCCAGGCCCACTTTTTCCTGGCATTGAGACAGCCATGGGTAGGGTTGCCACCTTTCGAATTGCTGGTAACTGGACCCCCAAGACCCCGCCCCTGTTCCGCCTCTTCCCCCAAGGTCCCGCCCGTCACATGCTCCTCTCCCCATCACTGGCAGGTAGAAGAAACCCAGCTGAGCAAGATCTTTAATGACACGATACCTCCCCATAGTAACCGGACTTTTGGTTCGGGTGCCATTTAGGTTGCCAGGCCCCCTTTTCAACCAGACTTCCAGTCGAAAGCCAGGTACCTGGCAACCCTAAATGACACCCGGACACAGAAGCCAAAAACTGGACTGTCCAGGTAAAACTTGGATGGGGGGGGGCAACCCTAAGCATGGCTCGGGGTGTGTAAACGTGAGGGAAGTGCCGGGGGAGCAGCTTATCTTTCAGACATTGGTGCTCAGAACTGCTGTATCTGAACTTGTTGGGCAAAGGCCACAGCTTCATCTGCAGAGGGCTGATGGGGTGAGGGGGGAAGAAACAGCTTCAGGAGATCAGACTCCCTTTGGTGTTGTAAGTGGCAGAGGGAAGCAGGAGACTGAAGGTGGTGTTCCGCCCGCAGAGCTGGGCCTCAGTTCCACACCAGCTCTGCTGTTTGGCCAATGGGGCCTCCAGACAACCAGCAACTGGCTAAGAGTAGTTCGAGTTGCTCCTTTCCCCAGAGCTCTGTCTAGCCCGTCACTGGACCAGGTGCAGAGCAAAAGAGTCAGAGCCCCCCATTCAGGCGGCCCAGCTGCAGAGTCCTTCTGCAAGATAATTGCTGGGGCAATATTAAAGGCGCACAAAGCCTCGCATTAACTCATTAACCCTCACTGCACCCACAGGAGGTAAGTGTTGCTACGAAGCACAGATAGGGAGCAGAAGCCACAAACTGGCTGCTTTTTAACCATGAAGTCTTTTGCCTATTCCTTGTACGTAAGCCTGCGGTACAGGGACATTCTGGGAAAGAATCCACAGAAAGCAGAATCAGAGTCAACAGGCTGTCAGACAGTGCAAACCTCGCAACTGCTTTGGATCAAGAGGAACTCCTAGATTTCTTAGACCAACCCTTAACATTTATGGCAGCCCATCACAAACCGATGGGGAGACTGTAATATGACAAGGACTATAAAACGTTTATATCATTGGAAATTTGGATAAGAGATGGTCCCTGCCTCAAAGGCTTTACTGCTGTCCAGTATTATCTCATGATTCCCCGTCAGTCTGTTTATATCCATCTGTTCTCTCTTGTCGTATATTTGGATTGTAAGCTCTTTGCGGGCAGGGACTGTCTCTGTGCTGTGCCTGTACAGCCCCTAGCACAACAGGGTCCTGGTCCAAGACTATGATAATAGAAAAACAATATTATGGAGGAGGGAGGACAGATTTCCTGAAGAGGACGGGGAGGACAGGCAGACCGTTCCCAGGCACAAAGCTTTCTGTCACTATAGTTCATATTATCCCTTCATGTTTCAGGTGAGAGCCATAATCACACTGCCTATCTCCCCCTGTGCCATCACTTGCTTTCTAGTATACTGTACAGGCCAATGCCGTCAAACTACACAGTATCAAATCTTATTCACAATGAAAGCTCTTCCTCCTTCCTCACCCAGAGAGAGAGGTTTTCCAATCCCAAGGCTTTCATAAGCGTGGAGAGAAATCATGGGATAATCTTTACCACAATGGATAAGTGGGATACTTGAGCAAGTTGTAACTATGGCTGAGAGTGCGCACACTTCTGAATTCATTATGAGCCCCTCTATCCTCCAAACTTTCTGTTTCAGGGAATTGAGATGTAACATGGCAGGTTCCTCAATTGTTAGAATACAGGTTGATTTGGCCTGCGTGCTTGGCACAGAGCTTCATATATTCCTGTGGGGACCGGAGCAACATGTGGCCAATTCTCCATCATGTGCAATTCATAAATCAAGACTGGATGTTTTTCTAAAAACATCTGCTTTAGTTCAAGCAGGAATTAATTCAGGGAAGTTCTCTGGCCTGTGTTACACAGGAGATCAGACTACATGATCACAACGGTCCCTTTTGGCTTTATAATACATGAATATAATAATATAATCTATTAATATAATCTATGAACTACATGATCACAATGGTCCCTTCTGGCTCTACAGTCTAAGAATTTTAGCATTTTTCTGCTATTTGAAGTTATTCAAGGTAACAAATTAACATGCATTTTTCTGAGACTATTTGTATGTGCACTCCTGCACACACACTCATTCCAGTCCTGGTTTCCCATACACCTCAGTCCCGACAATGCCCCTAATGATCCAGAACCATCTTACAGCCCGGCTAAGATGGGAGCTGTAACAAGTCTGTAAAATGTTTATAACATGAGGCCACAACCTCTGCGGAACAAAGCTCTAGCTACATAGGAATCACGTGACTTGCTTTTCCAGAGGGCTCAAGAAATAAAATAAGCTGCTCATTTCTTTCTTGGCCTGAAGTTCAAATAGTGAACAATAATAATATGACCAGACTATTATTTAATAATAATAAAAACAGACTATGAAAGCCCCAATGCAGATTATTTTGCTACGGTCTTGCTTCCATACAAATGTTCTCTGATTGGACACAGATGTCCTTCTTTTACCTTTACATGTAATAATGGCCTCAGTTGGAATACTACGGGTGAGATTGCCGTAAACCAGCTTTGCTCTGAATGGAAAGGTCTTGCTTTCTGTTTCCACATCATAATTAAAGAACAATACATTATGCAAGGAGTTTCTCTGCAAGGTTCCTTCGAGAAAGGCTGAAAAATGGTCCTGTAGGGACGAAGACAAACAGAAGCACGACACTATGAAAGGGACTCACTCAGAGAGCGGGGCTGGGATTTCTCCCATTTTGCTAAATCTTAAACACACTTAGGTCTGACAGATTTAAGGTTGGAAACATATTGTACATACCTCAAACAAAAACCTCGCAGTAAAAACATCAGAGCTGGCACACGTTTTTATTTCAAGTCAGGAAACCTGAAGTTTAGACTGCACAAAATATCTGAAATCTACCCCACCCTGTATCCTGACACATAGAACATCATCCCTACAACAGATGAGGATTGTGGCATTTGTATTCAGTAGACAGAGTGAACATGGCGGACTGTGATTTTAACAATGGTTAATATCAGCAAATGCCCTCTGCTAAAAAGATACGAAGATGTTGCAATACGGAGTATAGAGGGCAGGTGGGAGGAGGAGAGGAACATGTCTGTTCTGTGTACAAAAGCTAGAGGGAAAATATTAGAGAATCAGGGCAGTTTGGAGAAGGTACAAGTCTGAGTCTCTCAGGGATATAGATGGACTGTGTGGTGGATATGGGGTGGAACAGAGTGGAAGTTGTTTGTGGAATCTTAACTCCACGTTTCCTGGACTTGCACATGTTTATTTTTCTAAAGCCAATGAGTTTTGTTTTTATATATATTTTAGTTATGCATGCGAACACATTTAAGACATATTTCCATCAGTTTTCAAGTGAGTTCATATTTCATGCTATAATTAGCAATGCAACACCTAAAACTGGAACCTTGAGTGCTCCTTTGTAGGAGCTACGTCTTAACAGCTTCCTATACAGATTCTGACACAAACAATTCTCTGCACAATTTTCATTGCATAAAAATACCATGCAAGTTCTGATGCCCACAGGCTTTTAGGATATTTACAACCTAACACAGTTTCTAAGATTTAAACAAAAGATATTATTGTGCGTGTTTAGCTCTCCTCCCACAACACATACCTGGAATGCAATACTTACTTAACATGAGTCTTCAAAGAGCTTAAATGTTAACTCATTAACCCTCTTAACACCCTGTCATGTTCTGCATTTTACTGATGTGGAAACCTAGGTAGAATGGTTTAATGACCTACTCAAGTGCATACCCAGTGACTGTCAAAAGTGGAATTAGAACTCTCAGATCCCTGGTTCTCAAGCCACACAATCTTGAGTCCTTCCCACCTCATATTTATTGTAACTTCACCCATTCCCCCAAATACATGTGGGTAGATAACCCTCTCATATCATTTATCTCCCTTTTCGTACATACAAAAGGTCAAGAATAGATTAATGTGGTTGCTGGGGCCATCGGTACCTGTAACTGATCTGCCTGGTATTTCCTTCCAGCATAAGCATTCAGGTGATCAGACAACATAGCCAGGAAACATTTGATGTCGGTCTGCAAGTACTTCTTGGCTATTTGCTCCAAGGGGATGAAGATGGGGACAGAGTGGTGATGAATCTGGACTGGTTGCTGTATGAGGAGGTCGAGGTAGTAGGAGTCCAGGTAGGTGCCTTCATAAGCAGTGCTGATGCAGAAACAGATTCCTTGTTTGGTCAATTTCCCACTAATCCCTTGGGTACAAAAAGGGGTCTTTATTCAGCACCATTCTAGAACACTATTGTAAGAAAGCTTTGCTAAGGGGGCATGGACAGCTCAATTTTTGTTGTTCTACATATGGAATACACTACATACATTTAGTCCTTAGACAGGGCTCCTAAGAGGATTAAGGATTTGGAAGAATTAAGAGGCATGAACCCTGGAATCATTTTTTATAACCCTCCCCTCAATCTTCTAGTGGGTTCAGGATTTTGTGACCAGCAGTACTCCAGGTTCCCAACTTCTTCCACTGAGCTTCTGTGCTGGGTCCTGGTATTTTTCTGCTCAGCTTCCACACATGTGCATGCACTCTAGCCTGCTATGGAGCTTGGGCTACTCCAAGCCAGTCTTCCCATCATGAGAAGTCCAAACTCAGTGCTGAGTTAAAGAATGCACAGTTGAGTGGAGGAAGGCAGCATGCTCTGGCTGGCGTAGCCAAGGTCCAAGACTGATTAAACTGATACACAGTCATCCAAAAAGGTTGAGAAATGCTCCCCTAATCAGCTCATCTGCATCCTGGCAAGATTGGTTCAATAACATTTCAATTAGAGAAACTGGAAATTGTGGTGAAAGTGACGCCCATTAAAGTAGTAATTTGAAAAGGCTCAGAGACAGTTAGAAACAGTATCCTGCCCTTAGGGAAGGCTCAGCCAATGAGAATTTGTTCTGAACACGGTGTGTTAACTCAGTATCATGGAAGCCTCTAGTGGTGGATGAAGAATCCGAGGTGACAGACAAAGGGAATCAACCCTAGATGAATTAATCTCTTTCAAACTCAGTTATCTTCTAGCACCTCAACACTCTTAATGACTGTTATTTAAAAGCACAATAGAATCACTTTTAATAGAAAACAATCAGCTTGATAGCAAGTTCATCCTTCAAAATGAGAACGCTACAAAACCAGTGGCTGGGATCAAGGACACCTATCAGCCCCACATACAGGAACTGACTATGGACTGCAGGGCACTAATCAGAGCTTGCATGGATCTCAGGGCTTTACCTGTCAGATGAAAGGCTTGCAGCATGGCCTTCACATTTTCCACTTTCCATTTTAGAAGAGCTTGCCCTCCGGTCTCTGTTCCTTGGACGGGCTCCACATTACTGCTGGTAGCTCCTTCCTGCCTGATGAGCTATAAAAGACAAGACATGAAAGAAAAGCCGCTCAGAAGTCACTGAAACATCAAGTATTCACTGGATGAAGGGTGGCCCAGGCTGCTGCTGGGGATTTGCTCTGCTCAGAGCAGGGCAAGACAGACTGCTTGGAATACTGTTTTGTGACAGGAGAAGAAAAAAGTTCTAGGATAGGGGCACAACAGTTTCTTTGTAAGTAGCAGGGCATGGCAGTGTTGCACCTGCTCTGTGAGCAGGACTTCAGTCTTGCGTTTTCTCAAGCCAGCACCATGAAGTTATTTAAAAAAAAGTGAAGGGAAAGAATAGCAGCTAGTTGTATTAGAGAAATAATATAAATAAGTCAATCACACAGTCTGGAAGGACAGAAGTCGGTCAGGGACCTTCTGCCACTTGTACGTGACAAGCACCTAATTCTTACCCCAACTTGCTGCAGGTTCACTTTGGTCTGGAGTTCATCTCTTTGGAGTCTCAGCTCCTGGATTCTTGCTCTCAGCCTGACCAAATTCTCCTGCTGCCGTTGAGTTTCTTCTTGCTTCAGTGCTAGTTTCCGTGCATGAGCTTCCAGCTTTTCCAGATGGGATAGGACCCCTCCAGGAAAGGAAAAAACAGATAAATCCAGTCTGCAATTATTTATTTATATTTAGCCTGGGCAGGATTTAAAAATCTATAGACGTCAGTTATTTCAGCTGACACACTGAAATCAACGAAAAAAATCAGTTAGTAACTGTTGGAGGAAGCAACAGTCCCCTCACCACATGCCTGCAGGGATCAGGTGTCACCAGCCCCGGGGATACATGGAGTCCTCTGCAACCGTGCTGTCACAACCCAGCTCCTTCACTCCCATGACAGCATGGCCTCAGGGCCGGTAACACCCAATCCCTGCAGGGACCAGATGCACTGAATGCTGCTGTCCAAGCCCAGTGGAGCAGAGACCCCTGGCCAGGACTGAGATGATGAGGTAAAGCCCCCAGCTGTTGGAAAGGCCACCCCACTGCTGAATGGTTCCAACCCCGGACAGGAGCCATTCAGCAGCAGAATGGCCTACCTCATTGCTGGGGGGCTCCTTCTCCCCCTCACAGCTCTGCCCACAGGGGTCTCTGCTTTGCCCTGCCAGGACCACAGGCTTCCCCACACCTTGCACCTTCAGTGATCAGGCGTCACCAGTGCAGAGAATCCTCTGCAGCTCTGCTGCCCCAGCCCCACTCACTCATCAGCCAGGAGTGTGGGAGCTGTCCCTGGGCAAGAACTGTTCAGTAGCACTCCATGGCCAAAGGTTTGTCCTCCTCCTTGCAGTCGTGGCCAGGGGCCTCTGTGCCAGGACTGCAGCCTTCTTTGCGCCCTGGCGTCTTGGACCTCTCAGCAGCTCCCCTGTCAGTGCTACCCTAGCCCTACCCCCCACCTTAATTTGCAGCAAATGTTTGAAAAACAAGTGATACTAATTGATGATAAAATCTTAAAAATAAAAATCTACGTTAACTGTCAAAATTGGGGGAGTGGGGGGAATTGAATTCTGCCAAGCCTATGTATATTATAGTAGCACCCAGATCATGCTAGGCACTGTAATGATACATGGAGAGACCCTAATCATGACATACTTATATAGGTTAGGGGAAAGAGAAATAACCTACAGTTAAGGGGCTTTTTGGTCTTATGTATATGACTGAGTCTTAATTACCCCTTGATGTAGCCATTGCTAGCTGGCTAATTTTTTAATGCAGTGTAGACTAGTGCAGTGGTTTTCAAACTTTTTTTCTAGTGACCCAGTTGAAGAAAATTGTTGATGCCTGCGACCAAACAGATCTGGGGATGAGAGGTTTGGGGTGTGGGAGGGGCTCAGGGCTGGGGCAGAAGGTTGGGATACAGGGGTGGGGCCAGAAATGAGGGGTTCAGGATGTGGGAGGGGGCTCTGGGCTGGAGTGCAGGAGGGGGGTCAGGGCTCTGGGGTGGGGCCGGGGATGAGGGATTTTGGGTACAGGAAGGGGCTCCGGGTTTGGGGAGGCCTCAGGGCTGGGGAGGGGGGGTTGGGGCATGGGCTTACTTTGGGTGGCTCCCAGTGAGCAGCACAGTGGGGGTGTAGAGGCAGGCTTCCCACCTCTCCTGGCGCCACAGACCCAGAAGCGGACAGCAGCAGGTCCGGCTCCTAGGTGGAGGCGCGCAAGTGGCTCCATGTGGCTCTCACCCACAAGCACAGCCCCCCTGGCTCGCCAGTGCTTGGGGCAGGGGCAGCGTGCAGAGCCCTGTGGCCCCCCTGTCTAGGAGCCAGACCTGCTGCTGGTTGCTTCCGGGGCACAGCGTGGTGTCAGAACAGATAGGGACTAGCCTGTCTTAGCCAGGCAGCACTGCTGACAGGACTTTTAATGGCCCCGTCAGCGGTGCTGACCAGAGCCACCGTGATCCAGTACTGGGTCATGACCCGCAGTTTGAAAACCACTGGGCTAGTGGATAGTGCACTGAACTGGACCTCAGGAAACACAGGCTCCCAGATCTAATGGGTGACTTTGGGCAAGTCACTTCACACCTCTGCCTCAGCTCTCCTACCTGTAAAATAGGAATAATGATCTTTACCTCCTTTGCAAAGTACTTGGAGATCTCCAGATGAAGAGTGTTACATAAAAGCTAGATTTTATTATTATGGCAGAAATGGATCTTAAGGAGTGATTTTGAATGAGGAGAGGTTTCAGAGTAGCAGCCCTGTTAGTCTGTAGTCGCAAAGAGAAAAGGAGGACTTGTGGCACCTTAGAAACTAACAAATTTATTTGAGCATGAGCTTTCGTAAGCTACAGCTCACTTCATCGGATGCATTCATTCATTCATTATTTTTTTTCCCCCACTGAATGCATCCGATGAAGTGAGCTGTAGCTCACGAAAGCTTATGCTCAAATAAATTTGTTAGTTTCTAAGGTGCCACAAGTCCTCCTTTTCTTTTTGTGAATGAGGAGAGTATCACTTTCACTGAGCTGAAGAGCACTTTGCACTTAAGACCCATAGTTTCTTCAGGTCATCGCTCCACATTAAAGGTGAAGGCAGCTGCGGTCTGTTCCCTAGCAACTTACCATCTCTCAGGTAAGCTCTTGCCTCTTCCATTGTCACGTCTAGTTCTTAGGCAATGGCAAAAGTACGTAGTGTGGAATGAAGGATCTTCGTGGCGCTAAGTACTTGCCCGCTAGAATTACGCCACAAAGCCACTAGGGGCTTTGCCACCTCAAGCTTATTTGTGCTGAAAAGAAGAGATCGCTCTTTTACATTTTAGGTTATCTACTGAAAGAATTAGATGGTACAATGCTTTCAGCCCATGAAAATCCCTGCACCTGCGGCTTTTCTATGGCTGGGATCAAGGATGCCTGCCCCAGGGCACTGGGTATAGGTGCTGACTGTAAGGCATAAGCAGGAGTACAGACACCATGTCTCCAAGTTGATTTCTGAAGGTGCATATGGTATAAAACAATTTTAATCTATTTTCATGAGGCGTCATAGAATCATAGAATATAAGGGTTGGAAGGGACCCCAGAAGGTCATCTAGTCCAACCCCCTGCTCGAAGCAGGACCAATTCCCAGTTAAATCATCCCAGCCAGGGCTTTGTCAAGCCTGACCTTAAAAACCTCTAAGGAAGGATTAGACTCTTTGACTCTTCCTGCTCCTCAGACAGGGAAGGGAAGGGAAGGGAAGGGAAGGGGGCGCATATGCAGAGAAGCCATTTTCACAAACAGCTGGTGCAGGAAAATGCCTTAGAGCAGCCTTCACTGGAGTGACCGTGTTAAAGCAAGTGGGCATTGGAGCCTGGTGAGGATGAAGACACAGGACTCCTGGGTTCTGATCTCTGTCCTGGGAGGGGTTCTGGTGGTCAGGTTGGTGGGGAGGGCTGGGAGCCGGGACCCCTGGATTCTATTCCTTGTTCAGGAAGGGGTTCTGGGTGGGGGGGCACTGGGACACCTGTGTGCTGTTTGGGGAGGGGTTCTGGTGGCTGGGGTCAGGACTCCTGGGTTCTGGAGGTTTGGGGGCAGTAGGACTTCTGGGTTCTGTTGGGGGAGGGGGGTTCTGTTTCCTGTTTTGGAGGGATTTCTGGTGGTTGCGGGCGGGCGGAGGGGGTCCGGACTCCTGGGGGCGGGCGGAGGGGGGGGGGGGGGACGGGGGGGGGGGGGGGGGGGGTCGGGGGGGGGGGGGAGGGGGGGGAGGGGGCCGACCGGGGGGGGGGGGAGGGGGGGGGCCGGGGGGGGGGGGGGGAGGGGGGGGGGGGGCCGGACGGGGGGGGGGGGAGGGGGGGGGGGGGCCGGACGGGGGGGGGGGGAGGGGGGGGGGGGGTCCGACCCGGGGGGGGGGGGGGGGGGGGGGAGGGGGTCCGGACCGGGTTCGGGGGGGGCCGGGGGAGGGGCGGGGGGGGGGAGGGGGGGGGGACGGGGGGGGGGGGGGGGGGGGGGGCCGGACCCTGGGTTCTGGGGGAGGACGGGGCGGAGGGGGGGGGGCGGGGGGGAGAGGGGGTCCGGACCCGGGGGGGGGGGGGGGGGAGGGGAGGGGGTCCGGACTCCTGGGTTCGGGGGTGGGACGGGGGAGGGGCGGGGGGGGGGGGAGGGGAGGGGGTCCGGACTCCGGGGGGGGGGGGGAGGGGGGGGGGTCGGACCCTGGGTTCTGGGGGTGGGACCGGGGCGGAGGGGCGGGGGGGGGGGGGGGAGAGGGGGTCCGGACTCCTGGGGGCGGGCGGGGCGGGGGAGGGGAGGGGGTCCGGACTCCTGGGTTCTGGGGGTGGGACTCCGGGGCGGAGGGGCTCTGCGGGCGGGGGGGGAGGGGAGGGGGTCGGACTCCTGGGGGCGGGCGGGGGAGGGGAGGGGGTCCGGACTCCTGGGTTCTGGGGGTAGGACTCCGGGGCGGAGGGGCTCTGGGGCGGGGGGGGGGAGAGGGGGTCCGGACTCCTGGGGGCGGGCGGGGCGGGGGAGGGGAGGGGGTCCGGACTCCTGGGTTCTGGGGGTGGGACTCCGGGGCGGAGGGGCTCTGCGGGCGGGCGGGGCGGGGGAGGGGAGGGGGTCCGGACTCCTGGGTTCTGGGGGTAGGACTCCGGGGCGGAGGGGCTCTGCGGGGGAGCGGGGGAGGGGAGGGGGTCCGGACTCGGGGGGGGCGGGGGGGGGAGGGGGGGGGTCCGGACGGGGGGGGCGGGGGGGGGGGGGAGGGAGTCCGGACTCCTGGGTTCTGGGGGTAGGACTCCGGGGCGGAGGGGCTCTGCGGGCGGGCGGGGGGGGGAGAGGGGGTCCGGACTCCTGGGGGCGGGCGGGGCGGGGGAGGGGAGGGGGTCCGGACTCCTGGGTTCTGGGGGTAGGACTCCGGGGCGGAGGGGCTCTGCGGGCGGGCGGGGGGGGGAGAGGGGGTCCGGACTCCTGGGGGCGGGCGGGGCGGGGGAGGGGAGGGGGTCCGGACTCCTGGGTTCTGGGGGTAGGACTCCGGGGCGGAGGGGCTCTGCGGGCCGGCGGGCGCGGGGACTGAGCCAGGCCGGACCCCGCTCTGGGGACGGGGTCACCGACGCGGACCCTCCTACTGCGGCTTCAGGACTCACCCGCGAGCACCATGGAAACCGGCTACGGGTCCCGCGCTCAAACCTCCCGCGTACCGACCCCCACCGGAAACACGTCACTAAACTCCCTTTATTCTCTTTCCCAGCATACCCCGCCGCACGGTTGCCCGAAGAGGAAGTGGAGACGCCCCACCCAGGGTTTATTTCCGGCACGCACGCACTCTCGTTCCCCCGTAACCGTACGACAAGATGGCGGCGCCCGCATTGCTTTCCCAGCATAGCCTGCGTGTTGAGTGAGTCCGTTCTGGAAGATGGCGCTGAGGAAACCCTTTTCCCGGCATGCTCCGCGCAACCGTCATCCGATTCCGTACATTAAGATGGCGGCGCCTAGCCTGTTTCCCCAGCATGCCGTGCGTGCTGATTCCGTACGGCAAGGTAGGAGTGACTGGGCCCTTTTCCCGGCATGCTCCGCGCCTCTCCCTCCCGCCAGGTGTCCGTACGCTAAGATGGCGGCGCCCGGCGGTAGCTCGGGGCGACGGTTGGTGCAGTACGTGGTGCTGCGGGGGGACCTGCAGCGGGAGCCGCTCTCGTGGCCGCTGGGGGCCCTGGTGGCTCAGGCCTGCCACGCGGCCCTGGCGGCGGTGCACGCGCACTACGGGCAGGCGGACACCGGGGCCTACCTGGCTGAGGGCGGCAGCATGAGGACCGTGGTGCTGGAGGTGAGCGGGGCCCGGGGGGGAGCCCCTGGCTCGGGGGAAGGGCGGCGGGGCCCGTGGGCCGCGATATGGCCCGTGGGCGTTGGGGCCGGGCGGAAGCGCCTGGCGGGGGCGGGGCCTGGAGTGCCCCTAGCGGGGAGAAGGGGAAGCGCAGGAGACGTGGGGGTGAGGGGCCCGTGGGGGGGGGTGAGGGGCCCGTGGGGGGGGGTGAGGCCCAGGTCTGTGGGGAGAGGGGTCCCAAGAGGCCCACACGTGTGGGAGGGCAGGCTTGTGCAGAGCTGGGCGCTCTGCGTACAGTGCAGGGGACGGGACCAGCCCTCGGGGTGCCTGGCTTCATCTAGCGCCAAGCGGTGGGTCCGCGCTGCGAATCCCGGTAGGAACCGTCATTCCTCCGTGTGAGGGCAAAGCCCCAGGGCCGGGGCTAGTGCTGCTCCCCTTGTGCGCGCCGAGCGCTAGAGCCGCGTCCTGGCCCAAGGAAGAGGTGCGAAGCCGCCTGAACCAGGAAAATGTCCTGTAGCGTCTCCTGGCATGGATGCAGGTGCCTGGCTCTGCGAAGCATCCAGGCTTTACTTCCAGCACTGCCCAAGCACAGGACATTTGGCAGCCCTTGCTTTAGGGAAGGCAGAGAGCGGGTAGGGCTGCAGAAAAGTAGGCCCAGCAGAGCAAAACCAGAGCATCTGGTCACCCGGCAGGTTCTGTCTTGATCCAAATGCTCAGTTGCTCATGGAGACTACAGGTTCCAGCACATGATGCTCCAGAATTCAGATGACTTGTGGAGTCTACAAGTCCCAGCTGTCAATTGGATTAAAGAAACTCCATTGACATAAAGAGAGAAGCAATAGTCAGGACAGTTAAATCTGATATAGTCAAGTATCTGTCCAGTGGGGCATTGCTGTATGGGAATTTCTAAACCATCTGTCCATAAGGTGGGAATTGTTTACTTCTAAACTGTGAGATGAGGGCATGGCCGATTGTGACACCTTAGAAAGCTGTGTCTTTCGGACACTTCTGCATACGATGATTTCCCTCGGTCTGACCATTCAGAATATAAGTAACAGCATGTGTAACTATCCCCCCTCACAAGTCATTAGCACGTTGCTTGAGTTATTGAAAGAGTTTTGTTGCTTGGCAGGAGTTGAAGGCTGCTGTTTATGTGGACTAGCTGAGAGGGACACTACACGCACTTCTCAAGCAACTTGCATGTGAATGGCCTTGCAGTGTAGATAAAACGTGGCATTATGGAACTCATATCCTATCTCAAATCCAGGTAGTCCTACTGAACCTACTTCCCAGCTCTTGGTCTATTCATATGTATGAGCAGAACATGAATACTTAAGAGGAAAATTACCCAGTTTTTAGCAGTCTTTGCTTCTACCAAAGGCAGTGTGGTTGGTGGCTATAGCATGGAACGGAGAGTCAGAAAATCTGGGATCTGTTCCGCCAGCTCCACCTACACTTCCTGTGTGACCTTTCTCCACTTCATTTCCTCATCTGTAAAATGGGGATAATGATAAGTGCTGTATGATGGCAAGGTTTTATTGTTTACCTAGTAGTAGAAGTGGAATACTTGTCTGTTATTCTTGGCATTAGCTAGTGCTATCAGTCCCTCATTCCATATAAACTAGCCTCATACAGAAGAAAATCATAGTTGTGAGGCTGTCTCACAATTATTAACAAAGTATCCTTCCCTATTGTTCCTACAGTCTGTTGTAATACGTCCTCATCTCTTCCCCCTAACATGTTTATTTCAGCAGCTGCATTTGCTGCCAGAACTGAGGGTTGATTTGCCTATTGGCAGTAAAAGATCAGTAGGGGGCAATAGTTCTTTTCAAAACTAACTTGTTGCAGCTTTGAGACACTTATTTGGGAGCTGTCTGCATAGGGAGTTGGTTTCATTCTGCAGTTCTGTCTGTATTCTGGTATAGCCCAACTGAAGCAATGCATGGGGGAAGTTCATTGTTCAATCTGCAGTCGTGTGTGTGTGTGTGAGATCTCTGAAATTGCTCCTGTTGGTACCTGTCTGGTTTCAAGTCTTGGTTTTCACACCCACTGCTGAAAGGTAACGGTAAAATTTTGTTAGCCTTGAGTTATGAGATAGTTTGATGTCACAGTAAGACTTGTCCAATGTTCTAGAGATAATGCCAGCCCAGCACTCTGCAGCTAACCTAGAATGAAAAACCAGCCCTTGAGAGCTATCCTAGAATGACAAGCTTATTATATGGTACCATCTATTGCTTTGCAAGCATTCAGGAAAATGAAACCTAGCCCCAAAGAACTTCCACTCTAAACTAGATAGATAATGCAAGGAAGAGGCTACAAATCAGAGAGGGAAACTAGGAGATATACTGCAAAGGAAGAAGCAGCAAAGTGGCAAGAGCCTGGATGTGTGGAGATGATGATGCAAATCTGGGTGACAAAGAAGAGGTTTGAGTACTCAACTGTGTGAGAGTGAGATGGGAGAAAGAGGGCTGAGAGGGAAGAATGGTAGCTCGGGTTTGATAGAACACTGTGACATCTTGGGGGGTGATGTTACAGAGTCAACGAGTTGTGCACGGGCAAGGGTAAGGGAGAAATTTCCCATGCAACAGATTTGTATTCAGTATCTAAGGGATTATCACACACTGTTGAGTGGTGTTAAACTGCTCTCTTGCAGTGCCCTCACAGGTAACATCTGACCTCACAGCCATAGGTTCCTTTTACAGAAAGGCAAATGCAGATGGAAAAACTGCTCACAAGCTTGAAAATGCCAGAGGGAAGAGAATTGAAGGACTCCATGCCCCATTTGTTGGGCTGACTTGTCACTTCCATGAAAAAAGTAGATCAGTGTGGTAGCAGCCTCCTACACTAACCATCCGATGTACGGTGTGAGCACCCAGGAAGGAATCTGCTTCTCTGCCTGTCGCGTGCAGGAGCTGAATGTCCTCTACATGGACAGAATGCACCCGTTTGCTTCTAGTTCAGCATACTGAAGAAGGTGGTGGGGAAGAAAAGTAGCAACCTTTATATACACCCTTGAACAATGTGACAGGCAAAGCACCTGAGATGTTTAGTGAGCAGCTGTGCAAAGGAGTTGTGAACCCACAGCGTGTGGAGCTTGTAGGTCCTGAATGACCATTTCTGAATATGATGGGCACTTGAATAATCATCTCTATTTATATTGTGCTAATGGTGTGGTATCTAGGTGCCCATCCAATACATGTTGATTGGATTAGTTAGAGTAGTTATCAGTGGTTCAGAGTCATGCTGGAAGGGCATAGTTTGTGGGGTCCCGCAGGGATCAGTTCTGGGTCTGGTTCTGTTCAATATCTTCATCAGATAATGGCACAGAGAGTACACTTATAAAGTTTGCGGACGATACCAAGATGGGAGGGGTTGTAAGTGCTTTGGAGGATAGGATTAAAATTCAAAATGATCTGGATAAACTGGAGAAATGGTCTGAAGTAAATAGGATGAAATGCAATAAGGACAAATGCAAAGTACTCCATTTAGGAAGGAATAAAAAGTTGCACACATACAAAATGGGAAATGACTGCCTAAGAAGGAGTACTACGGAAAGGGATCTGGTGCTCACAGTGGACCACAAGCTAAGTGTAAGTCAACAGTATAACGCAGTTGCAAAAAAAGCGAACATCATTCTGGGATGTATTGGCAGGAGTGGTGTAAGTAAGACACAAGAAGTAATTCTTCTGCTCTACTCCGTGCTGATTAGGCCTCAACTGGAGTAATGTGTCCAGTTCTGGGCGCCACATTTCAGGAAGGATGTGGACAAACTGGAGAGAGTCCAGAGAAGAGCAACACAAATGATTAAAGTCTAGAAAACATGACCTGTGAGGGAAGATTGAAAAAATTGGGTTTGTTTAGTTTGGAAAAGACAGAGGGGACATACTTTTTCAAGTATGTAAAAGGTTGTTACAAGGAGGAGGAAGAAGAATTGTTTTTCCTAACCTCTGAGGATAGGACAAGCAGCAATGGGCTTAAATTGCAGTAAGGGAGGTTTAGGTTGGACATCAGGAAAAACTTTTCAACTGTCAGGGGGGTGAAGCACTGGAATAACTTGCCCAGGGAGGTTGCAGTGTCTCCATCATTGGGGATTTTTAAGAGCAGGTTAGACAAACACCTGCCAGGGATGGTCTAGATCATTATTCCTCCCCTGAGTGTAGGGGGCTGGACTAGATGAGCTCTTGAGGTTCCTTCCAGTTCTGTGACTGTCTAATAAATCCTCCATCAGAGTCCATGCCCGCCCATCCTGAGGAAGAGAGCACCTTCTCCGCTCCAGATGCAGTCAAGATTCACTTCCATTTAAGCATCTGCTCCCATTTAGAGCCCGTACTTGGGGCTTGTCTATACTCCTAATTTTTTGTTGTTGCATACCTGTACTGGCAGCGCCCCCTAGTGTAGATGCAGTGTAAGCTGACAGGAGGAGGTTTTTCTAT